GGAACACTAGAGGGTTTGTGCAGGGAGTGCTGTAACTGGATTTAATTTACATTAAAAATAGCTTTATTGAGGTCTTAAGTATACTTAATTGAACTATTATTTACATAAAAGAAAATGAGCCCAGTTTAGGTGAACAGTTTGATGAATTTTGACAAAGACATGCAGCTGTGTAACTACTATCACAACCCTGTATGGAGCATTTCAATCACCCAAAAGGTTCTCCTGTGCTTGTTCCCAGTCAATAATCCCCCCTGCATGGCCCCAGGCAACCACTGATCTGCTTTCTATCCCTTTAGGTGAGATTTATCTTTTCTAGAATTTCATGTGAATGGAATCACGCTGTAAGTGCTTCTTTGTGTCTGGCTTTTTCATTCAGCAGAGTGTTACTGAGATTCAGCCACGTGGTTGCACCATCAGCAATTCTTTTATCGCTAAGTGGCATTCTGTTGTCTGGCTGTGCCTCCATTTGTTCATCCGTTCCCCTAGATTTACGCTGTAAAGCGGCCGGTAGAATAGAACCCAGGACGCAGGGAGACCTGTGTCAGGTGGCCCGGTGCAATAGGAAAGTGTCTTGGCACACCAGCCCCAGCGCTGTTCCCCAAACACGCCAGGCGCCTCCCTGCCTCAGGGCCTCTGCCCCTGCGGTTCTCAGCCTGAAGGCTTTTCTCCCAGATGTCAGCTCGGTTTGCCTTCTCACTTCACTCAGGTCTCTGTTCAGCTGTCCCCCTTCTGCTTCCTTTGTGTTTCTTCATTGCCCTGACAGTCACCTGATGCTGTATTTCTTTGTGTACTTATTGTCCGCTTCGTGGTGGTGGTGTCTGAAACATACGCATTTCACAAATATTTGTGAGTGACTACATGTGGGCTCCCTGAGAACGAGGTCTGGGCCTTCCACCTTGTCCCTCTCTGCTGGCACGTAGTAGAAGTACATGGTGTGTTGCTTGGGTGTCAGAGAAGCAGGTGAGGGTAAAAGCTGTGAATATTAAATTTCCCTCTCACTGGCTCCAGGTGCAGCCGCCCAGGGGCCCTAGAAGGGACAGCCCAGGGTGATGATGAGCAGAGAGCCGGGATGTGGCAGTGAGCAGACATGGAGGCTGCAGGCAGGGAGGACGCTGCTCTTTTGAGCATTAGACAAGGCCTGCACTGCTCAGGAGTGGTGTGGGAGACTCCCTGATGTGACAGGGGACCCAGATGGGCGCCCCTGCAGCCCTAAGCCCTCTGGCCACTGACCTTTGTTTGCCTGTGTCTTCCCTCCCGCCGCTCAGACTCTGCAGCGTGATTCTGGAGCAGGCTACCTCTTAGAACGCTTGACCAGCTGGGAGAAATGTCCCAGGACAAAGTGAAGGGACCGTTAACAGCAGTTGATTGATCTGGGCACGAGGGTTACAGTGCTTCTGGAGACAAGAGAACTTAATTAAAATCAGCTGGTTTGGCAGCTGCTGAGATGCTGCCCCTGTTGCTGCAGCTTCCAGGTGGCCACTTGTGTGTTACACACACATCCTGAAATTGAGGTTTGTTTTCGGGTGACGTGCCTGCTGTGGTGGTTGGATGATAAATATGTCGATTATCCTCTGAAACTCAATTTCACAAGCTGTCAAAATGGGCCCGTTATATTTATCTCTTATTTCACTAGGAAATGGTGATTAAACCAAAGATGGTTTTAAATGTTTCTGTATTAACAATGTTTAGCTTGAAACCACTGCTGATAATTGGTTCTTAGGGTTGGCATTTATAGCTGTCTTAGGAGATGCTAAATAAAAAGGCACCTTTGTGCTTGGCTAGAGGACACTGTTTAGCACCGTCACCTTGTTTTCTCATAGGTGAGGATGGTGTAGTGCAGGGATTGGATTTGGGTCTCACTGGTTGAGCATCTCATTGGTAGTCAGCCTTCACCGAGGGCTCCCTCTGCAGGCTCTGTTCTACTCGCTTTGCTGCTGAACCGGTTTATTACAGCGGGAGGGCTGTGTACTCTCCCTTCCTGTGTGTGAGGACACCAATTAACTAGCCCCAAGTGAAGAAGCCAGTCAGTCCTGGACCAGGATGCGAGTCCAGTCAGTCTGACTGCAGAAACCACCCTCCAAACCACTTTCTCCTACTGCTGCCGTTTACTAGGCGCTTACTGCATGCCACGTCCTGAGCAGAGAGTAGCCCTACTAATCTCCCCTCAGTGCCGGTGTGCTTCCTGGGATTGAAGAGGAAACCAAGGTTTAGGGAATTAAGAATTTGCCCCCAGTCCTTTCAGCTCCGTCCTTCTCTCTGTCCCTCCTGTCCTCCCTACCTGCCTGCCTGCCTGCCATCCTCCCTCCCTCCCTCTCTCTCCTCCTTCTGCTTCTTTCTTTTCCTTTTTTCTTTTTTTCACTCACACATATTTACTGAGAGCTCCCTATGCACCAGGCAGTGTTCTGGCCGTGGAGTTCCCTCAGCAGTCAAGATACTTTGCAAAAGACAAATGTGCTTCATACTCTTGAGATGCTTATATTCCAGTGGCAAGAGACATATGACAAATCAATCAATCAATAAGTAAATAAAAGAAAAGGGCAGATAATGAGTACCAGACAGAGCATTGAAATAAGGTGATGAGAATGAGGAGCTATCTCCTTAGAAGGCTCGCAGGGCGGCCTCCTGTGAGGCCTCAGCTGAGATAGATGGTGAGTCACAGCCAACCCTGGGAGGAATGGGGGGGAGGGCCTTCCAGGCACAGGGAGTGCCTGCAGGTGCTCCGAGGCGGGACAGGGCAGGTGAAGGGGAGGGGCTGTCTGTAAGAGATCGTGTGGCCTGTTGGGTGGTGATGAGATGGTGGCAGCCAGGGAGCTCTTTGGCCGCTGTTGCTGCGGACCCCCGAGAGGTGGTGGCAGTTAGTATCGGGGTGGTAGATACAGAGAGAGAGGAGTATGTGGGTTCGGGTGTGTTTTGGAGAAATTAGTGGCTTTACTGGCTAATAAATGTGATGTAGGGAGCTAGGGAAAGAGATGAATTTGGCCTGAAACACTAGGTAAATAATAACGCAGTTTATAAATTGAGAGAGTTGGGTTGAAGCAGCCTGGCAGGGGGCGTGGGGGGTAGTCTGTTTAATTTTTAAAAATTAAACTTTAAAAACTATAGTTGATATATTTAAAATATATAGTTGATATACAATATTATATTGGTTTCATTTGTTTTGTTTTTTAGATTCCACATATAACTTGAAATCATATGGGGTTTGTCTTTCTTTGCCTGGCTTATTTCACTTAGCATGATACCCTCTAGATCACAGATAGCAAGATTTCCTTTTTTATGGCTAATATTCCATTGTGTGTATGTACCACATCTTGATCCATTCATCTGTGAATGGACACTTAGGTGGGGTCTGTAATGCGGCTTTGTAAATAATGCTGCAGTAAACATAGGGATGCCTGTATCTTTTTGAACTAGTGATTTTGGGATTTTTTTGGGTAAATTCCCAAAAGTGGAATTGCTGGGTCATATGGTATTTCTATTTACAGTTTTTGGAAAAACCTGCATACCATTTTCCAAAGTGGCTGGACCAGTTTACATTTGGGGGGAGGGGTCTGTTTTAGACATGCTGCATTTATGTACCTCTTAGCTGTCCGGGCAAGTATCTGAGCTGAATTCCAGAGAGTAAGTAGGGCTGGAGACCGGGATTTGGGAGTCTCCGGTGTATTGTTGATCCCTGAAACCATGGGACTGGAGATGACAGTGGAGAGAGGGCAGATGGAGGAGAGGACCAAGACCTGGGATGTGCCAGCATTTACTGGTTGACCTGAAAAGGGTTGGCTGGTGGCAGAGAAGGACAACCAGATGCGTGCAATGTCAAGGAAGTGAAGAAAGAAGTGTTTCTGGAAAGAGGGAGTGGGTGGAATCCTGCAAGTAAATTCAGAGCAGAGAACATGAAGGATTCAGCAACCTGAAGGTCATTGCTGATTGCACAGAGCCATTTCAGGGAAACCTGGTTGGAATGAGTTAAAGACAAAATGTCAGGTATGAAAGTAGACAGGACTCCAGACCATGCTTTCAGCGAAGGGAGCAGAGAACAGTGGTAGCCAGAGGGGATGTGCCGTCCGGGTCTTTTCAAATGGGGATAATAGAGCATATTTGCTTCTTGGTAGGAGACACCCACCCAGGAGGAGAAAGAGGTCTTGATGGCAGGGGTGCTGTTCTTGTGGAGGCGAGATGGTGTGAGACCAGAGCAGGTACCCGGTGGCCATGGTAATGGGAGGGCTGGCAGAGGGGTGGGCACAGTGGGGGGCAGTGGTGGTTTGGATGGTACGGTGAGGGACCTCCCATCAGCTGCATCCAGCTTTTCCCAGGTGAAGATGTGAGTTTACAGGCAGGGCTGGGGAGGATGTGGTGGGTTTGAGGAGAGGGCAGTTGGGGTGTGGAGTAGTCCATTTGGAGAGAAGGAAGGAAACTTCTAGGGGCTTGTGGGACCATAAGGCGTGTCCAGTCGGGAACGGTGGCTTGTGTGCTCCCTGGCAGCACCCATGGCTCCGAAACAGGAGGCGGCAGATGCGTGGGTGTGCCGGGCTCATGGGGGTCCTGGGGGCTGGCTTCGGGTGAGAGCGTGGACAGGGAAGCCAGCCTGGGTTGGGGGCTGCAGGCTTGCAGGGAGCGGTGGGCCCCCAGGCCTCCCCCTCTCCACCAGCCCTGCTTCCCCATCACCACTTCCACCACTTTTTCCTCTTCTTTTCCTCAAGAGGAGCCCACAGGGACCTCCTGGGATCAGCGCTGGACCAAGTACTAAGCTCAGGACTCCCTTGACTGTGGGTCCTGATGGCGGTGCCGTACCAGCAGCCACCTCCCTCTCTGTTCTGACCATCTTTTCTTTGGCTGGCTCAGGATCCTGGCAAGAAAGGAGACAGTGGGTGGGAGTCCCCAGAGTCAGCTGAAGCCTGTGTCAGCACAAAGGCCGTGTCTCCAGATTCCCTTGGAGTGATTCCACATACGGATCAATGAAATAAACACTGCCATGCCTGAGTGATGCCTTTTCTGTTCTTCTCTAGGTTCTGGAGAAGCCCTTTGATCAAGGAATTGCCAGAACCACTGATGAGACCCTGGGCTGCCATGTGCTCCCAGGACGTGACTTTGCAGCTCCCAATTTATTTCTCCTGGACATACTTCCAGATTCATCCTGTGTTGACCCCTCAGTGTGGGAATGTCCCTTTGTATTCCTCTAGGAAGCTTTCTGATTAGCATATATCTTCCAGCAGACCCTCCCTGCCGCCAGGTGAGGACCCAGGGCTGGGACATTGAAGGATGTAGCTTCCTGGCCCCTGTGTTGGGGTGGGCGGGGGCCACCCTCCTGGGACAGCCTCGTGCTTCCAGGACTCAATCTTCTACCTTCTGGCATGTATGCAGCTCACACCTCAAGCTTCTGGTGACCCCCATGGGAGAGAGAAACTGAGGACAGCTTTCTTTCAGTGCCCACGGAAATGAGGTTGAGCGGAGGTGGAGAGACCACTGGGGCAAATGAGGCCTAGGAAAACACCATTCAGTCCCTTGAGGGTGGGGGCAGGGAGAGTTTTCAGGAACTCCTGCATCAGACCCAGGCTGTAAGGCTGTGACCCACAGTGACTTTAACACTGTTCCATTTCTGTGCAGTCGGCAGCCTGTGACTCTCCCCGACCCCGGATGCCATGAGGTCATCATGTCCACCACGCCTGCTGCATTCACAGTAGACACCATTCTTAATGTGAGGGACACCAGAATATTGTTTGATTTGAAACACTGTAGGTTTTGTTTTTTTTAAAGTGGCAGGTTTGCCTTGCTGACCACGTGTGATCAGACAATAAAGTTAGCGGAGTGGCAGGATGGTCTGGCATGTGCTTAAATTAAACACAGGGAGGAAGACACTGGGACTGAAAATGTGTCCTGCCTTATGGACAGTCCACATTGGCATCTTTTAGAGGTTCACGATCCCCTGGGCAGGCTCAAAAGCAACCCAGCAAGGGCTTTGCCTGTCTCTGTGGAGTTCCTGGTATGGTTTTGTTTCTCCTCTCTGCTCCCCTTGCCCAGATTCCTCAACCCTGTGCCCTCTGGTATGGTGCTTCTGTGCCCTGCATGGCGATCATGTGGGTACTTGTCTGCACTGGAGGGCCTGTGGCTGCCCGGTGTCCTCCAGTCACCTGCCTTTGTTCCTTGCTCTTCCCCTAGAGGGTGGTTCCTGGTGCTGCTTCTGAGGGAGTGCTTCCGAGACCTGCACGGCTGGCCACCATCTGTGACGCTGGCGGGGAGGTGGGGCTGCCGGTGCCCACATTGTCCTCAGATGCCGTTCTTCTGGGCCATGCACGTCACTGAGGTTGGTGGACCTCTTGGGCTTTGATGCCTTCTCGTGGAGGCTTCTGGGGTAAGTGTGGTGATGGGGGCCAGTCAGTTGTGGCAACCCAGAATGACCACCGTCTAGCCCCTGGTTTCATTCGCATTCTCCCCCCCACCTCGTACCTTCGGTTCCCTGGTGGTGGTGCTGATGCAGCGGGTGACATCTGCAGAGGCATGTGTGTCCGATGCAGTCAGCGAGCCTGCTGTGTTTGTACTGCCTGCAGACTCTGCACCAGAACACACAGGTGCTGTCCTCCAGGGCCCTGGCCGACCAGAGGAGCAGCAACCCTACCTGCGTGACCCTGCCGTGCGGCGTGGGACCCACTGTCTGGCCGAGTACCACCTGGGGGATTATGGGCCGGCCTGGAACAGATGTGTGCCTGGGCAGGTTGGGGGGTACAGGACAACCCCAGGGACTGAGCTGCTGCTTCCCTTTCTCTTTCTCCCTCCTTTGGGCTCTAGTTTCTTTCCTGCTGCCTCCTCTCAAGATCTCTGTTTATGAGCACTCCCCCCGCAAGGAAGGGGGAACGCAGAGGCACCTCCCCGCTCCTCTGAGCCCTCCCTCACCTTGCAGCCCTCGGTGTGGAGGACCACTGCACGGCACTAGGTGGAACCCCTCCTCTCTCTCCTCTTCCTCACTCGGGCCAGGTGCTGGGGGCTGGACCGCGTAGACAGCTGGGCTGTGGTCATGTTCATTGACTTTGGCCGGTCGGCCACCGGCCCTGTGCAAAGCCTGCACAGCCTGGACAGCGACGGTTTCTGGACCATCCGCCTCTGATGCAGCCATTCCTGCGGGAGGAAGGGGAGCAGTCCTCCACCTCCCGAGGGCGTCAGGGACCTCGGGTAGCCAGGGGGCAGCTGAACCCTCAGGGTGCCCTTCAGCCTCTTTTCTCGCTGTTCTGCCCCAGTTTTCAGTATCTGCCTCTGGAGTACTGGTTCTCATACCCGCGCTGTGTGGGCCCCAGGATCCCAAGGGGTCTCAGGTGCTGCCCAAAGGCTGGGCTCTGTTGTGGTGGCAGGTTGCGGTGGCAGGTTGTGGTGGCAGGGGAGGGCAGGCTTCCCACCCACTTCTGCCAGAGCCGGGCAGCCTACGCTTCACCTGTTTTATGTACATTGGATTTTGCTTCAGAGTTCACTGGAGAAGGATTCTGGAATTTGAACCCCCACAATAGGGGTTAGCATTGGACTTGGGGTCTCCTGATGTGTTGCTACTTTAGATCCAGACACGGCTGGGGCCTCAGTTTCCACATTTTTGAAATGGAGAAGCCCCATCTTTAGCCCCTTCTCAGTATTGGGCTTAGGTGGGATGTGAAAGGATGAAAGAATGCTTTGGGGGGTCAGGAGGAGAACCAGAGGTAAAGAAACACACACACACACACACAGATGGAAAGACGGAGAAGCATCTCCCCAAGTACAGAGCCAAGGCTCCCTGGGAGGCCAAAGGGGTCTTGTGCCCAGTGGTTAGGGACACCACCCAGAGGTCACTTTGGGTCACTGCATGAAGAGGGCCCCTGCCGCCCAGCCTGGGGAGTAACTAGCCAACGGCTGCGGCCCAGGGGCTTCAGGTGAGGCTGAGCCTGACATCTTGGGGGTTGGAGGGTGGCCCGGAGTAGAGGAGCCCCCCCACCCAGAAAGCATCTCCCAGGACTTAGGGGAACCAGGGTGGCCAGCCCAGACTCGGGGCTCCCAGCTGTGGTGTGGACTTCTGAGACGGCTCTGGGAAGTCAGGCAGGCAGGCGTACAACTTTACCTTTAAATGGATGAGGAAAGTAAGGCTCAGGAAAGCGAAAGCTTCCTCATGTTTCATAGCAAGAAAATGATATAGCGGGGTGGAACTGAGGTCTGACTCCTGATGGAAGCCAGTTTCATGGATGGAAACAGTCCCAGAGCGAGGGGGATGGCAGGCTGGCGGGATCTGAGAAGGAAGGGGAGACCTGGGGAAAGGGGGGTTTCTGACCAGCGCCCTGCCCTGCCCGGTCCAGGCACACGAGAATGCCAGCTCATCACAGTGAAAGCCTGGCTCCATCCGTCTTCATCTCTCTCAAGAGCAGGGTTCAGTGAACACAATTTTCTGTCCCCAGAATTTCCCATTAGAGAATGTAAAGTCCCAGATCCCCGTAATTATTTTTGCAACAGTAATAATGCCTTTTATATGCTCTTATTTTGTCTCCCCATCTCCCACCTTTCTAGCACTTTTATCTCATTTTATTCTGGCAGCAGGGAGTTAGCCCTAACACGCAGAGGCTTGTCGGAGGAGCTGGTCTGCAGCCACAACCCTTTCCCGCAGCCCCGGCCTCACTTTTCTCTCTTGCTCCTCCTGCCTGACCAAGTGCTGCCAAGGTTTTGTTGTTGGGTTCTATTTTGGGGATGTTTTGAGTTCATATCAGGTATACATCGCATCCTCAAAGGGAAAATCACTGGTGCTTTGAACTTGGAGGTACGTGGCCCTAAATCTGTGCTCTCCATCCCCTCCGGCCCTGGGGGTCTCAGCTGCAGGCCACTGCCGTAGGCCTGCTGCTGCCTGTTTCCCTGGCATCCCTTAGACGAACCCGAAGCTATCCAAGGGCTTGAGTGGGCTGGCTGGGGTGGTTCTTCCTTCCTGCTGAGACTTTCTCTTTCTCTTCCAGTCACACATCCTGAAGTTTGAAGAGTTTAAGTAGTGAGGCTGCAATCCGCATGTTCCCTCTCCTGTCCAGATTCTGCCTGCCCAGCTCTCTCCTGCCCCTTTCCCTCCTGAGGCCTCGGGGGCGAAAAGAGCCATCACTCTGGTGCCCAGCATTGATTTGAATCCTATTTGCCTTTACCCCTAGTTTGCCTCTCAAAAACAGGCGATCTGTCACATGTCTTCAGTTCCGCGACTCAGCCATCAACATTTGAGCCACACATGGGAAGCCACCATGAGGTTGAAAGCCCAAGGCAGCCAGTACAGTCTTCCCTTCTCTTCTTTGCACCCCCGGAGCGTGGTGTAAGCTGTCCTAAGTCTGGGGAACGGAGGCATTTATTTTCCTGGCATTCCATTCTAGTGTCTGGTAGGGAGCATTCAAACAATGAGCCAGCACCTTGGTGGATAAACTTTGGCACGTTTCATGAGTTCAGGGTGACTGATTCCTGTCTGGCCAGCCCTCCCCAGTCCTGCCCTCTGAACAGCCGTAGTCAGATTGAGAAGCCATCCCGCGTGCCTCATGAGCTGGCCCAGCCTGGGCGCTGCCGCTCCAGGCCCTGCCGGGGATGGAGGTGGGGTGCACGCTTGAGGGGGAAGGTAAGGGTCTGAAAAGTTTCATTTCTCCTGGCCTTCCTGGTAGAGAGAAGACAGTCGGTTCAGGATGATATGGACTCAGTTCTTTTTTTCTGCTTTGTAACTTCATTAGACCCCCAGGCTGAAGGTCCTGAAAGGGACGGGCAACTGGACGAGGAGGTGGATTCTCTCAGAGTTGGTGCAACGCATCTTACAGAAGCTGGTGCACCTTTACGTCAGGTAAACGTGTACCCCATTATTTCCTTAAATAATTGTTAGAGCCAAACTATTTAAATAATTTTATTTGTTTCATCCTTTGGTAGATGAGAAAAATACATTACAAAATACATTATACAGAAGACAGCTTACAGTACACATTACATAAAACACAATCTACATTCCAGCCAAGGCTGGTGGTAAGTTCAGAAGAAAGCCACAGAGGCCTTGAAAGCCAGGTTTCAGCTCTATGGAATGAGTTTCCCCTTCGGATTCCCTCTTTATCTCCACCTCTGCATATGTGAGCACCCCATACAGGTGGGTGTGGGTAGCTTGAGCCGCACTGAGTGGGACTGTGAACACTCCATCCACCTAGAACATCAAGACATCCAAATCCTTTCAAAGAAAAGGGGGAAAATGACCAACATTACAATTGCTGGGTCCCAAAGCAATACAGAGCTCCTCCAGCATTCTGTGTGGTCCCAGATAGCTGTCCTGTATTTGAGCTCTCTGACTGGCATCTTTGCCATCCCTGCCCTGTCACTGAGGTCATCATCCAGTCTGTAGGCATAATTGGCCCTGAGAGGCTGTCTCGGCCCCAAAGCAGTGAGCCTACCGACCAGAAGCCAGCAGGTAGCGTGTGCCACACACACACCTTGCCTGCACTCTTCAAGCATGTACAGGCAACACAGTGCTGACCGTTCTAGCTCTGCGACTCCCCACTGCCCTGTGCCCTACCCAGCAGTTCCCAGAGCCTGGGGTGAGGACACAGGGGTACACAACAAACCCCTTAAAGCTAACCCTTTCCGGTAGGACCCATCTTAATGGAGCGGCTTGAATCAATATTCTCCGAGTCAAACTTACTTCAGAGCTATGTTGTTCCAGGACCAGAAGCAAGACACAGGAGGGTGAGCAAGGGAGCTACCAACAATTACCCTTCAGTGTTAATTAGAAGCCACTCCAGGGAGACAAACCAATGAGCACCAGTTACAGTTGCACGGCATAGAGCCGGACCCAGAGAGACCAGGCCCACGTTCGGGAGACTGTCCCCCGTTGCTCAGCTCATTTACAAGCAATTCTATGAAGCCTCCTCTTAGGCCTCCTTCCTCATATTTTCTTTTTCTTAGAATTTGAACATCTGTGACTAGAAAGGTAGTCCTAAGAATTAATTAAGGCCATCACGTCAGCCTACTACGCTGTGGTCTAGCAGGCCGGGCTCCGCATTCTAAGGGGGACAAGTGTTGGTCGCTCCAGAGGCCTTCAGGAGAGATCGGGGCCAGCCGGGCGCGTGCTTCCGCTGCACCTCTCTCTGGCTCCAGCAGCGGAGGGTAGCCTCTTATCACTGGAGCCACAGTGGCCTTGGTGACCCTCCCCCGCACCCAAGTAGTTCAGGGAATGGGGGTGGGGTGGATGTGGGAATAAAAATAAAGATGAGTCAAGACCAGCATCTTCAAATTAACAAACTGTAATTGTTTTCCCAAAGATACATTTTTTTTCATACACATCCATCATACACTGTAACCAAAAAAAGCAGTGTACATGAAATAAGAGAAAATAAATTAAAAATCCATAGCATAGGTAAGGAGGCTCTAGTCTGGAGCACAGCTGAATTTCCAGCAATATAAGGAGGCCCGAAAGTTTCTCTTATAAGAATGCCTGCTAGCAAGGGTTCCAGCCAGGCGGTTGGTTGGTCTGTCAGTCAGTCTTGAGTGCTTGAAACAGTTCTGTGTTTGTGTTTTTCCTTAGCGTTTAGAATAGCCATCATTGTCCTGCAATAGGCAGAGCTATCACGTCCAGGAAAAATGAGGGAGGGAACCACAGAGGCAGCGTGAGATCCAAATACAGCATTCGAAGGTAATTGGTCCAGTGGTGCCTGGGGTGGGGGTGGGGGGTCAACTCTCCAGGGTTAGCCGTCTTCTTTCGGGGGTGTGTACCAGCCTGCAAAGAAACCAAAGAACAGAGTGAGGGGGAGGCCGAAGCCCACCCCCATCCCGCTCACTGAAGACATCTCCAGGGTTACAGGCGTAAAGATCCTAGGAGGCTTCCAGATGCAGGGAGAGAGGGTATACAGGAAGCTGAGGAGCTGCCTACCTGGAGATGGTAAGGGAAGGGGGAAGCGTGTGCCCACCCTGAAGAGTGAGGTGAGCTTTCTCAAAGCGGGGGGTGGGCAAGAGGGCACCAGGTCTACCTGTGGGATGATGCTCGGTGCTTTTCTGGGCAGAGAGGCTGTGGACCTTAGCCACCTCCAGCCCTTCTCTGGACAACGGGCAGCTGCCAAGTTAATGAGCAGTAAAGGCTCAGAAACCAAAAGAAGGGGTTCTTGCTATTTAGCTGGAAGTGAAAACCTTGGGCCTAGCATGTGTCCGCATCTCGAGTCCTGGCTCCAGCCTCACCGTTTTTTTCGTGGATCTGCACCAAGGACTTGTAGGACTGCTGTGCTCTTGTCAGACTGTATTGAGACTGGGGAGAGGAAGCCACCAAATCAGGCATGGCCAGCTGTGGTCTTCCTGACCCTCACCTTCCACAGGCTGCCACCCAGACACCCTGGAGTCCCAGCTCCCAGCACCGGGCACGGACACACTAACACCCTCTGCCTGGAAAGGCCCTTTGGGGCGCAACCCCAAAGCCTTCCTTTTCTAGACTTGTGCCCTCCCCAAAGCCTCAGTATGCCCGAGGCCAAGGCCCTGCCCCCGTTCCCACGGTGGGCATCCCAGGCACCCAGCGCCACCAGCCCCGAGGCCTTACCCTAGGCCCCTGCAAGAAGGCAGCCTGGCCTATTCGCGGCCCTAACTGCGTTTGGCCCCAGCAGCCCCGGCTCGTCACCTTGTTGGCTCCGAACTGCACCCGCGCCTTCCCCTTCACCAGCGTGGCGCTGATCTGCATGATCACCGACTCTATCGAGTAGGCACTGCTCCAGCCCTGGGCAACAGGCAGGGACAACACTCACGTCAGAGAAACCTTACACGTGTTCTCCAGTGAGCAGCTGCATGTGGAGAAGGGCCCCTGCCCTGCTCTCCTGGAACAGCCGTCACCAGTTTGCCGAGGCGGGTGGGTGCAGGCCCTGCCCAGCAGAATGGAAGGGCCACATCATGCCCATCACCCAGCCCGTAGGGCATGTGTTGGGTGAAGCCCAGCCCAGCCTTGTCCACGCCAGCCCAGCCACGGGTGAGAGACAGGCTCACCTGTTTGGTGAGAAGTTCCATGCAGATGGCACCTCCGCCCAGAACATACCTGCAGAAGAAAGGTTAGTCAGCTGGCTGACTGGCAGAAGCTCCACACCCCTCCCCCACTACAGCAGGAGCTGCCTCTCCCCTCCCTGAGCCACTCACCCTCCGGACAGGACTGGAGATACAACCCTGACAAACGGTGGGTCAAAGGGGAAGTTATCCTGAGAGAGAGACAGAGGCAACTGTCAGGGAGGGGAGGCCAGCATCCTCCACAGGACTGAAGCCCCGAGGAGGAAGCCGGGCCAACGGGCCAAGGAAGGAGGGACTAGAAACAGCCTTACTTTAAAGGAAAAGTTAAGGAGGATGAAGTCAGCCCCTTCTTTCTCTTTGAGGATCTGGAGATCGCTGTGCAAAGCGCTGTCCTGATCAACTCTGTGAAGCGATGAGTCTGGGCTCAGACCCCTGGCCCAGCTTGGGCATCACAGTGGCTCCCCCTCCCCCAGGCTGGCAGCAGAGGGACGCACTGCTGCCCACACCTGCTCCTGGGACCCTGCCTCCAGCGGGCCCACAGGACCACCTGGGAGACCCCCACCACAGGGGCTCCACGCACACCACCACTCAACTTCCTCTCCGGTCCCAGAGGCCCCACTCACTTGAGGAGTTTGACATTCCAATCATACAGACTGTCATTCACGAGTTCGACTGCATAGTTTCCTAGAAGGGAAACGGGTGTTATTAGGATATTCCAGGTGGTGAGTGGGCCCAGATGCAAATCCTTCCCCCAGGCTGAGGTTCCGAGTTCACTCCAGATGGACACACACCCAATCTGAGCCACTGGCTTGGAGTTCCATGCTCGGCCTGAAAAGTTCGTAAGCATTCACATACGCCAAAACTCTTTTCCTTCCTTCCGAGAAGCTTTGTTCAGGCCCCTCTCTGAGGCAAACTCACCGCCTTTGAAACTCTGTGATCGGTATATATCCCTGAGCTCCTTCATCAGCCGGTCAGTGGCCTGCACCGAGCCAGACACTGCGCCCTGCACGGGAGGGGGGAGAGAAAACCCTTCTCCATCAGGTGGTTTAGAAACACACACTAGACCTCAGCAGTAGTCTGTTGGCTTGCCGAGGCTTTAGGCAAGGCTTGGGCACACCCATAACCCACCCAAAAAAGGAGTCTGTTCTTCAGACTGATACGGGATGGCCGACCACCGCCCAGCCACAGCCCACCAACCCCTGGCCCAGCCTCTCCCTAGAAAGCACGTACATTTAAGTAATCTTGCCTCTGGTTCTTTTTAATTTTCTCTAGTATGGCCAAGTTTTCTTTTCCGATGCCATCATCTTCAGATTTCTTGCCCTCAGCCGGCTCTTCCTCTTTCATTTCATAGTGATCTAGGTCTTCTGTGTCCTGGGGAGTGGAGGGGCAGGAGTGAGAGGAGGAAGGGAACCCAACACAGGTCCTGGGGAGGGACCGTCGCCTTCCCAGTACCATCCGGCCTAGAGCTGCAAGTTAAGGAACAGTGGTCTATCTAGCAGGCTAAGGAATAACGCCCTTACCGTTTCTGGAACAATTCCCAGCCCCATGCCCTCCACGTCTAAAGGATGAGGCCCATCTCTCTTCCTAGCCAATTCTCAAGCAGCTGAACTACAAAAGGACCTAGGGAAGGCAAGCAGGTCTCAGCCCTCTTGTTCTCCAGACTGACTTTCCTCTCCAGCCATCCCCCAAATTCTCCCTTGGCAGCAGAAACTCTCCCTTAATTCCTAGAATGACTCTGGCCTAACACTGTGACTCAAAGCTCATGTTTCACTGGGGGACTTCTGTTCCCATTTCTCAGGACTCCATGTCTAAAGGAGAAACTGGGACAAGAAACTCCCTCCCTCCCACTCCTGCAGGACCCAAAGCAGGTACGCAGAGGTGCCCACTGCCAAGCTGGAAATGAGAGCGGGCTAGAAAAGGGGATGGTAGAGGTCAAGAGCAAGAGTTAGCCCCTTATTCACACTGCTCTAAGTGAGTAAGCAGTTCACGGCGTGGGAGGAGCCCATACCCAGCACTTGGCCCTCTCAGTCAGGTGCTGGAGGGGTGGCACAGGGGGCTGGTCCACTGTCTGGGACGAGTAATTTTCATGTATCACTAGCTGTTCTGTGCATCTTAAGACCCCATCAAAGTTACAGAAGGTGCAGAACTTGAGCCATTAATCCAGCACTAGGAAACAAAGCCATCAGAGGGCTCTCTGCTCAGGCAGCACGTGGTCATACTGACTTAACATCCAGTGAATGTTTATGCTAAAAAGTCAGATATGGTACTAGATGCTATACACACTAGTTCATTAAATTCTTAGAATTGCCATGCCGTTATTCTGTTATTACCTCCCCCAGCCCCTTCTATAGATGAAGAAGCTGAAGTCTGGTGAGGTTAATTATCATGCCCGAAGTCATACAACCTTAGCAGAGCCAAGACGTCTGGCTCTGAAGCTCAAGTTCTTAGCCGTTGCGTTATATTCTGTGAAAATATCTATGTTTTTAGATACCACATCAGATAAACTGATTAGCACTTAACGTGTATTGTATGGAGCATTTCACACGCAATGCATCATTTAATCTTCAAAGCCAACTGTATATAGTAGGTATGATAATCCCATTTTATAAATAAGGAAGAACTGCAGCTTAGGGAGGTCAGGTAAAATTTCCCAATTAATATAGCTAAGAGATACAGGACGCAAACTCAGGTTTGACAAAGCCAACTGAAATGATTTTTTTGACTTTGGTTTAAACAGAATTGCACCTAACCGTCTTCAGCAGTTGGAGGTGGGGCCCTGTCTCTACTACACTGGCTGTTCCTCCAAGTCAGTACATCTGTTTTATTCCTTTGTTTTTTTTTCTTCTCTCCCCTGTTCTAGACTGGAGCTCTGTATACAGTGGGTGCTCATTGCTGCTGACTGAAAGAGCTTCCCGCCAATGCCGTCTTGGATGGCAAGCCTACCTCAGGCATCTCCTCATCTTCGTCTTCTGAAGACACGTCTTCCTGTGTGCACTGCAGCGGGAAGGGGAAAGTGGAGATCAGAGCCCCAGTGGCTTCCTAGAATGCAACCTCTGACCTCTAACCTCCTCCCGCACCTCCAGGTCTGGACACCGTGCACCTGCCTACAATGCTGCCAGCCTCTCCACCAGCCAGATGAGAGTGGTAGCAACTGCCCAGGGAAGGACTTCCCTACCGGCCCATTATTCTCCTACCATAAGCCATAGGATAAAAGAAAAGTGAAACGGCTGTTTCAGTCATCCACCTCACAATTCCCAGTTTAATTCTCCCAAGATCCCTACTTCACTCAATCATCACTAGACTGATTTTGTGTTCTTGGTTCTTCACAAGGGGCCTGGGCCCTTCCCAATCGCCACCAACTGCTACTGCTAATGGTAAAAATTCCTCCCTTCCACTCAACATGAAGGATACTTGCCCGTGAGAGTTTTGATAGGGGTGAAGCTACTACTGCCCCATTTACCTAGATTCTCATCTGCAGAAGAAAGGGGCAAAGAGTCACAATATGCGTATGTCTGGACTCGGCAGGGGTGGAGAGACGACTGCAGACTTGTCTCAGCTAAGAGGGCTGTCTCTGGGGCAGCTCTGCACAACAGGCCCAGAGCCCCTCAGCCGCTCACCTGCTCTGCCGGCAAGGGCTGGTCCAGCATCTCCACGTCTGGATGCTGAGGGAGGTTATAGAGTTTACACAGGTCGGAGATAATCCTCTTCAGATGCTGCAATAGCTGTGGGCAGGGGACCACAATGACATCAAATACTCCTTTTCCCACGTCAATCTGAACAGGTGCATGGATGAGCTCTTGGCTCAGACCCCACTTTGGTACCTAGCTCTCTGAGTCGTCTGGGCCATGTGGCTGTGGGAAGGGGTTTACGGGACCAAGCCCAGGGCCCTCCCTCTGGCTTCAATAAGCAACTCTCCTAAGAATCTGCACCCAAATGTTCAGCTACTGCACCATCCACTTTCCAGATATATCCCCCTTTCACAGAATGTCTTTCTGGCATGGGCCTCAAGGAGAAAACGCACCCCCACCCCAACACCCTGGCCCCTCACCAGAGTATTCCCTTTCTTTATGTCCACCAGCCTCTCCAAGACAGCAGCCAAGTTAGGGTCATCGGACTCCACCGACCAGATGGGGGGTACAGCGGGGTATGATTCCTGAGGGGACGAGAGCAGGGAGAGTGATCAAGATGGGCAACTCAGGAAGAGCTAGTTCTGCCTGCCCTCTGCTCCCCAAGACTTCTAGTTCCCCCTGCTCCTACCCCTCCTACATACATAAAAAGCCCTGCTCAGCAGGTCAGTGTGTGACCAAGCAGCTTCCCCAAAAATCCTAGACCAGTAGACAAAGTCCCTGGGAGGACCCCCTCCAAGAAGCCTGGACCTTTTCTCCCCTCACGGGTACACACTGAAGGAAGCAGCACAGCCGCACGCTGCTACGGTGGGGGAGGGCGCCTAGCTACTGCGCTGCTTGAAGTTCCAGACTCAAAGTTCTCCCACACCCAGTCCTCCAGCCCTTCTGTGTGTCAAACGCCATAGCAAGTGGAGGAAAGGATCACCTCCTAACAATTACACTGATGCGAGAGCAGACTGCAAATCACTTTCATTTTAGCTGGGGAGAGAGGAATAAAAACTAGATTATATTTTGAAAACTTAAAAAGGGTAGCAGGAAAAATCTCCCCACCCCATTCCCAACAGAACCCCTTCAAGGGCCAGTTCTCCCCACCTCTCGGGAACCTGCCACCCTCTCAGTCCAAGCGTAGGCTGTAGGGCTCCACATGGCAGGCTGGAAGAAGCCTACGCTGCCAACATTCCCAGCATTCCTGAGTCACGGTGCCAAATGCAGCCTGACCAGGCTCCCCCTCTGCCCAAACTAAGGGGGCCAGTTCAGGCCAAGTTTCTTTTGTAGGGGCCACCAGGAATCTGACTGAGAACCTTCTAAACCTGACTTCCTTCCAGGGATGAAGAGGCAAGGTAGCCTCTGGCAACTGGAAAGGCAGCTAGAAAGGGGCAAACCTACCCTTCCGGAATTGGAAGCATAATTCAGGAACAAAATTAGCTTGTGAGGTGTCCACACATGCCAAGGAAACCTTAACCACTTCTACTGGGGGTCTTAGCTCTGTCATGGCTCTAATCCTCATGCTGGAGGAACACAAGATGCTCAAATCTTCACCTGACTCTGCCATACCTAGTCCCTCAATCGTAACTTTTTATTGGGAAAAAAAAGGTTGGGGAGGGAAATTGGGGAAAGACAGAAATGGGACACATGAATTTTGGCAGGGCACCATTCAACCCAACTTGAGGCTTACCTCACCAAACCCTGACCTGGTTGATGGAGCAAAGGGAGAGAAAACAAGAACCATGTAACTCAAATTCAGGCTTGCAAGTACCACACGATTCACAGGTCTGTCTTTCCCCGCACCGCTCCTGTCCACTGTCTGCCTGTGCAGATAAAGTACTGTCTCCTGGCTCCCTAACCAATGCCCCTACCGGGGAGAACACTACCAGCAGGTGTGTCAACCAACTTCAGCGCTGTCCTATGGAGTATCAGCCGTTCCACATTATCAGACAAACCCTCTTCAAGGGATGTTTGAGGGTAGACTAGTTATCTCCTAGTCTAGCATGCTTAGGATGAAATGATGTTTACCAGGGAGAAAAGAAACTTACTACTCAGAATAAATGGAATAGTGCTTGCACATCACCATCATTACCAGGAAAGGCAACAACCCCAGGCAAATGGAGATACAACCCCAGGGAGCAGGAGGGGGGCGGCAGATCTGCTCCGAGCTGGGGCAAAAGGAGGAGAGTTAGAGGTTACACCAGAATAAGGGAATCCAAAGAGAAAGGAGGAGTCGGCGAACTGCAACCACTTGGTAAAATTCAGAGAGCAAAGAGGGGCTGCGTGAGAGATGCCTGGGCAGGGGATCTCACAGGTGGCAACGTCCTAAGTCAAAGGTACTACTGAGAAGGGGGTTATCGCTGAAATGTTCAGAGTTCCAAGCCAGGTCCTTCCAGCTCGGATCAGTCAGTGCACAGGCCTGAAACCTTGAGATGGGTTGTGGGAGGAGAGGGACATACCTAGGTGGCAAGGTAAAGTCGTAGAGTACCTGAATCAAGAAACGAGCCAAAATCATTAGCCTTGGGATGTGGATGGGTTAGTGGGAAGGGTTAGTCAAGAAGCCATATGTCGGGGTATCCCTCACTATGAAAGGTCAGTGAAGAGGTTCTGGGGGAGGGACGGCAGAATCTCAAGCAACGGAAACAAGTGTATTCTGGAGGGAAGGGGCCGAACCCCGAGGGGGGGATTCGGCCTCCCAGGTCCTTAGCAAAAAGCTGTGTGGGGTGATCTTGAGTCCCTGACAAGGGGCCCCCAGAGAAGCGCACGCGAGGGAGTCCTCACCGTGATGTTGCAGTGGATGCGGACGGGATCCCCAGACACCGACCCCCGTTGGGGGAGATGCGGTCCGGGCGCGGCCCCCGCCCCGGCCCCTCCAGCCCCAGCCAGCAGGAACTCGCAGCTCAGCTCGTCCAAGCAGGCGCTGGCAATGCGGAAGCGCTCGTGGCCGCGGTGGAAGATGGACTCGAGCAGCTTCAGCTCCCGCCTCAGGCAGGGCCCCGGCCCCGGGCCCCCCCCTGGGCCGCCCCCGGCCCCCGGCGCCGCCCCCTGGCCCCCCAGCTGCTGCCCCGGCCCCGGCTGCTGCTGCCCCTGCGGCTGCGGCTGCTGCATCCTCCGCTCCGCTCCGCTCCGGGGCCGGCGGGCCGGGAGCCTCCGGCCTCCGCTCCGGGCACCGCCGCCGCCGCCGCCGCCGCCGCGGTCCGCACTTCCTGATCCCCCTCAGCTGCCCCGCCTCCGACCCCCCTCACGTGACCTCCCGGCTCTGGTCTCCCTCACGTGATGTCTCCCGTTTTCCCGCCCCCTTGTTCTCGACTGTCACCCTCCACATGTGACTCTAGCCCTCTGGCGGGTCGCTTTCAGTGCCTCAGTGCGTGTCTACGTACGTGTAGTGCGCGTGCGTCCGTGTGACTAACCTCACCAGCGCTCCCCTCTCACGTGACCCGGCGCCGCGTGCTCCCAGGGGCTACCCGCGCGGGACCCTGTCCCTTGCTCTGGGCTCCACTTTCCCCGCCTCCGAGCTGCGACGAGCGGGCCGGGCGCTCGGTGGCAGAGAAGAAAAAGGGGTAGCTTCGGTTGTCACTGTGCCGTTTTTAAAGTGCGCGCCCATACTGGTCCAGGGCGCAGCGTCCCCAAGCCTCTGCCTTCCTTGGGGAGTGGGCATGCCCCGTCTTCACACTGAATGAGGGGCGTGTGGTTGGCGAGGAGCCAAGGACCCGGTTACAAGAGTCTCGGATTCTCGTCCTGGCCCTCCTGCTAGTTGGTGTGACCTTGTCTTAACCACCTTTCCCCGAGCCTCAGTTTCCTCATCTGGCACTGATGAGGGTAATGCCTACGTTGTCTACTTCCAAGGATCTGTGAGGCGAGACCCTGAAATGTGTGACACATCGTGGGTCAGCTCTGTATGAGGGGTGATCAAGAGTTGACCCTTCGCGCTTATCAGACTCCACGTGTCTGGGAGAGGTTAGGGGAAGGATTGCATGGAGTTCTTCTGCAGGGTCATGGAAGCAGTACATCACTAGTCACAGTAATAGGAGACAGGCCCGGGTGGAGCCCTCTCCGCGTCCCAAGCCTGAAATGGCTAACACCTTATCGCAGTGGTCCTGGAGTTGCCGTGAGTAGGTGGCAGTGCTTCTCGGCCCTCGCTAGGTGGCACTATCACAAAGGACAAAGCTGGCTCAGGTTCCAGAGACCGGGCTGTCGTTCTTTGGCCCCGGGCAGGTGTTGTTAGCCTGTGGCAGGGCCTGGTGAATTCTGCCAAATCCGGCACTTGAGCCACACTGGTCAGATTACCACCAAACTCTTCCACGTGCACTAAAACGAGTTAGCTTATGTTGGAAGTTGTGCACCCTGGTGCTCCCTGCTGGGCTACTCAGTTATCTAGTCAGTGGTGTTTGATAAAGGCTGTCTTTAGCTAAATTGGGCTCTGGGTATATAAAGATGGTCCTGCCTTTTCTGGGGCCATTTCTCTCTTTGAGGAGCCTGAACAATTAGGTACACCACAACTTTGTATGTGCAAGTTGTTAGTGTAAAAGGCTGTGGTAAGAATTCCCATTTATTGAGTACTTCCTGAGCAAGGGTATATTGCAATTATTTCTACCCTGCCCTACCCCCAACAACAATGCATGGTAAGCATTTTTATCCAGCTTTACAAGTGAAGAAAAACAGTGACTATCCAAGGATGTACAGCTCATAAGCAGAGTGCCTGAGTGTGCCTCCAAAGTCCTCGCCCTTCCACTCTACTCTGCCTTTCTCCGATGCTTTTTAAAGAGGTTTTCAAGTGTCACTTGACCTACCCAAGAAACCCATAAATGCAGTCATTGGGAAGATCCCAAATTTCGTATTTTATAAAGGGTTTTAATTAGAATAAAGCAACATGAGGAGACAATCCCACAGTGTTGCACAGACTCCGTGTGCCCCAATGAGTAAACTCAAAAGTCACGGTCACTTGGATGAGGTCTGTCTCTCTCTGCTGGCCCATTCAGTGTCTCATCTCTCTGGCTGGGAGAACACTAGTAGCAGCCTGGTGTGGAGTCATATCTGGTGTTCCACTGGACTGTGCAGGGCAGGGGCATTAGAAATGGACAGGAAGTAACAGAGATCTCATTTAATGAATATTTGGGTGCTAGATACAATACAAGATTGAATAAAACAAAAATCCCTCATGAGGCTTACATTCTATTGGGGAAAACAGATATGATAAAGGTAGAGTATAAAGGGCCTATTGAGCACTTGATGTGAGAGAAGATGGACAAATATTTACCAGCAACTACTATACATGAGATGCTAGGGATGTAGCATGAATGAGACAGGGCTGGTCCTCATATTTTCTGTGCATTCGGTCCTGTAGAAAGTCAGACACTTCATGAAGTTAAACATCCAATCACTTAATTGCAGTTATGCAGTAAGTGCCTCAAAGAAGAACAAGACAGGCAATCTGGAAAGACATCCCTGAACAAGTGACACACTAAATTCTGAAGGATAAGTAGAACTACCTAAGGGAGGAGGAAGGGCCAGACTCTCTCCCAGGCAGGAGGGATTGATTGTACCAAGGTTTTGATGTAGGACCATGTCAAGTTTGAGGTAGGAAAGAAGGCCTGCGTCTAGAGGGAGGGAGAGAGTGATACAGGTAAGGTAGGCAGAGCTTAAACTTTGACAGATATTCAAAACCATGTTTAGGAGCTTGGGCTTTGTTTTAAGACCAAGGAAGATCAAAAGATCACCAGAATTTTGAGAAGCTCTGGAAGCCTGGGTAACTAATAGTTGTAGCACTAACAGAGAATGAGGCTTCTCAAAGGAGAGCTGAGTTTTGTGGAAAAGGTGGAGGGTTGGGGTTTGTGAAATATTGAGTGTATGGAGGGAGGAGAGAGGTGGGACATTCTCTTGGGTATCTAATGGGGTGTGGGTTCTGAGTTCAGGTGTCCTTTGAATTAGGTCATAAAGGGGGCTGCACAGTTGAGTGGGAAGAACATAAACCAGAGAGTCAGACAGAACTGGGTTTGGATTTGAGCTCCTCTGCTTTGCTAATTATGTGAACTTGGACAAGTTATTTAATTTCTGCAAAACTTTGTCTCCTTTTCTGCAAAATGAGTATCATACCTTCTGCCTTGCAGCATGAGTCATTGTGCCAGTTTAGATGAAATATGTAACATAATTAACATAGTGATAGACACATAATACATTGATCAGCAAATGCTAAATAATACCTCAATAAACATTTATGGGGTTTTGCCGTGTGTCAGAGATTGGTCAAAGTATATATACATACATTCGTAGACAGACAAGATCCCAGCTGTCATGGCACTTCCATTGTAAGTGCAAGGAATCAGACAATGAACAAATGAATAACATAGCCAGAAGAATACAAATGAATAACATAGCCAGAAGAATATCAGACTGATAAGTAGGTGCAAGAAATTAAAGTAAGGTCATGTGGGAGAGAGTGACTGGGGGTTACTTTAAGTCTAGTAGTCAGGAGAGGTCTCCCCAGGGAGGCAGTATTTCAGCTGAGATCTGATGAAGACACAGTAAGCCTAGGTGGGACTGGGGAAGAGCATTCCAACAGAAAGCAACAACCTTAAAGGTCCTAAGTGAGAACTAAGGTGGCATGATTTAGAAGCAGTAAACTACTGATGCACTGGCTGAGAGCATGGGCTTTGAACTCCAGCTTTGCCAGCTGTTAATGGTGTGATCTTGGGCAAGTTACTTAGCCTGTGCCTGCATCAATTTCTGTGTCTGTAAAATGGAGATCATGACAGTACCCACCTCATAAAGTTGTTGGCAGGATTAAGTGAGATAACACATGAAAAGTGCATAGAACAGTGCACATGGTAAAGAGCTTTTAAGGTTTTTTTTTTTTTAGAGGATGGGCATACCTTGAGTCTAGTGGAAGAAGAGGGAAGGGGGTAGAAGATGAGGCCAGTGAAGAAAGCAGGAGTTGGGTTATGGAGACCACAGTAAGTTGTTTGGGTTTTATTCAAAGTGCTGTGGGAAACCACTGAAAGATTCTTAGGCCAGGATCTAAAATGTTAAAAGATCACTCTGGCTGCTTTATGAAGAATGCATTGCAGAGATTTTTTGTTTTCTCTGAAAGGTCATGTGTTAGCAGAGTGAGCTGATGCACTTGTCTGGGACGGAGTGAGCAGCCTTCTCCTTTGACTTCTGGGAAGGAGCAGATCATTCCACCACTCACTCAGCGAGGATGTCCAGAGCACTTGCTCTTTGTCAGGAACTGTAGTGGGTACTGGTGTGCAGTTTCCGTGGGGAGTGCCTGGCTCGATTTCTGGCCCAGAGGAAGGGGGTCCGAATGCCTGCTGCTATACATTTTACCACTTTTGTTGTATTTCTTACTCCTGCCCTCCGGAGCACATGATAATGGAAGAATCATAGCCAGGTGTGATGAACTGTAACACAATGTGACACACGCAATAATAGGGATCAAGAAGGGTAAGGGCTATGAAGGGTGATATTAGTCAGGATTAACTCCAAGAAAGAATGTGAAAGCACAAGTTATTTAGGTGGAAATGGGGGACATTGTGAAAGAACTGGGCCCTAAAGTAGAAGGAGGTTGGGAAGAAAGGCCTAAGACAAAGCTGGAGTGACCTAGGAGAAGAGGGAAAGATGACGAAGGAAGGGCTCTGCACAGGCAAGATTGTGGAGGTGTCAGCCATGGGTGCTTTAGTCCGAGACCCCAGGGTAACTCTGATGGTATCAGTCTGTCTGGAGGTCAATTTAGCAATAAATAACTAAATAATCAAAGACCTTAAAACCTTTGAATTAGCAATTTCACTTGGAAATAATTAAAAGTGGGGGCAGAAACTGTACCTACAATGGAATACTATGTAGCTGTTAAAATAGTTATAAAAATACTTACTGGTAGAGAGATATTTGAGAAGTAGTAAATGAAGAAGGAAGGTTACAAAGCTGGATTATAGTGCGTTCCTTTAAAAATGTATATGATTAAGTTGTGTACCCAACAGAAATGCATATATTTGTATACTAAAAGCATGAACAAGAATGTTCATAGCAGCATTGTTTTTAATAGTCCAAAATAGCAAACAACCCAAATATTCATCAGTGATGGAATGGATAAACTATGGTATACATGGGATAACCTATACCAAAGAAGATGAATGAACTACACTCAACAATGTCCATGATTCTCACTAACATAATGTTTTAAAAAACATACACAGAAGAATATGATTCTATGTATATAAAATTCAGCAAGCAAAGTCGATCTACGGTGTTAGAAGTCAGAAGAGTGGTTACTTTTTTTAAAGTCTTTTTTTTTTTTGAGAGGGCATCTCTCATATTTATTGATCAAATGGTTGTTAACAACAATAAAATTCTGTATAGGGGAGTCAATGCTCAATGCACAATCATTAATCCATCTCAAGCCTAATTCTTGTCAGTCTCCAATCTTCTGAAGCATAACGAATAAAGTCATTTTTTTTAATTGTGGGGAAAATACATATAAAATTTACCATAATAGCTCTTTGGTAGGCATTCCGTACATTCAGAATATTGTGTAATCATCTCTCTATCTAGTTGCAGAACTTTCAGCAGTCACTCCCCATTCCTCCCCCGACCCCATGATGTTATTTTTGAAGAGGAGGGAATCATGACTGGAGGAAACATAATGGGGGACTTCTGGGCATTGGTAATGTTCTATTTTTTAACATCTGGGTGGGGGCTTATGTGAAAATTTAGCTGTACACTTAAATTTATATACTTAATGTATATTTTATATATATTGCTAACCATGATTTCTTTTTAGGAGGTAGGATTATGAATCTATTTTGTACTTACTTTTGTTTGCTAATTTGTGTTTTCCAATGGATCTTCATGAATATATATTGCTCCAGCAGTAAAATTTTTAAATAAAAAAATATCTTCAATAAAGGAAAATGATGATTGTAATGCCTTGCAAGAGAAAAATGTTCCTTACCATAGAGGCAAAGGAGCGTCCTGCCAACACTTTGCATGGTCACTATTTTGCCTCAGGGCTGATACTTCTGTATTTATCCATCACCTGTCCTCTCTCCATGGCTGCCATTCTTCCTGGTGGGTATGGAAGGAGTGTGTGGAGGACAGGAGGGAGGGAGGGTGTTCCAGCTCTTCTTGGCCACTGGGTGGCTGTACTCAGAGGACTCCCTCCCAGGCTGGAATTAAATGTGAAGTAAAAGCTGGGGAATTTGAAAAGAGAAGGTGGGGGCCAAGGGGAACAGGCTGCCTGGTCTGGTCTGAAAGGAATTTCAGGAGCGACCAAGCGGTTCACACAAGCCAATGCCTAGTCTAGTCTATCATCCCAGGAACCGGCAACCGCTACAGACAGCTTTCATAAGAGGAAAATTTCACAGCCTTCCTGCAACCGCCAGAAGAGGAACGTGCTAAGTTACTATCTGTAACTCTCCCTGTCCCTCCCTTTCAGGAGTTTGAAATGCCTTTAAGACACCCTTATCTTACTGGCTCTCTCATCTTTTGAATCTCAGTTTTCATCTCCATCCCCTCCAGGCCCTTAGGCACTAAACTCTTTCTCCTCTGCTCTTCCACAGAACCTTGTTCATCTCTTTACTAGAGCAGCCACCACATTGTGTAATAAGTATTGGTCCCCAAACTGTGATTTCCTTAATGGCTGGGAATTGGTCTTTTTGATCACTGCATCCTCAACACCTACACAATTCCCGTAACACTGTAGACACCCAACAAGTGTTGATCTGACTTGCAAGAGAAAAATGTTCCTTACCATAAAGGCAATAGGAGCATCCTGCCAACACTTTGCCTGGTCACTATTTTGTGAGTCTTCATACCTTTGACCCTTTCCCCAAGTGGAATGATTGCACACATTCCTTCCCTTTTCCTTAAGGCTTGTGTTTTCCACTCCTTCCCTTGGTCTAAGATTTCCTTAATTCTTAAGAGATCATCGCATGTTTATGCACACACATACCATGAAAATTATAGTGCAGATTTATGCCCACTTCCCTGTGCATTATGGGGCCAGTAACCATCTCATTTCTCTCCAGTCTGTTTCTAGTATTTGTCCTATTTGTACCCCTCAATTCCAGGAACTGAGGATGTTACATAAGTTGCTTTTAGCTGAGCTTTTAGAGAGGAATTTTCTCCTACACATGAAAAGATGTCAGTCCTGTACTAGACCTTTTTCCTTATATGTTGAGTCCTAGGATATGCCAGGTGCTGTGCTGGTTCATGATCTAACAAGAGAGGCAGCCACCAACTTAGACTAAATTGCTTGTTCATTGGACATCCTCTGGAAACAAATAGCAGAGCACCTGACATAGACCTCGGCCAGGCATAGCTTCCTTGAGGAACTGACATTTCTGCCAGATGTTCAAAGTTAACTAGAAGGTGGTTGAGAGAAAACACGTGATTAGAGAGCCAAACAAACTACCTGTTTAAATGGTCTTAAAGTGTGGAGGATGGGAAGGACAGAATGTCCAAGGATCTTAAAAGATATTGCGAGTAGCTGGAGTGTGGAGCCGAGGGTAATGGCTCTGAAATTGGAGAAGTAAGCAGAGATGGAATAAGACAAAGCCTTGATGTTTAAGGCTGCTTTAGTTGGAAATTTTTTGGTTGAAAGGATAAGAATCCAATAAAAAAGGGAAGCCTTTATCAGCTCAGAAGCTAAAAGTTCAGGGCTTTCAAGATCAAAGATGTCATTGAGTTTTGACACCTCTCTTCCTCTGTCTCATCTTTGCTCTTCTTTGTATTAGCTTCACTCTTGGGCTGGCCTCTGTGAAATGGTCCTCTGATCCCCCTTGTCACACAGCAGTCAAAGACTGGAATGGAAGGGAATGGGAGTGAGAAAGGCTAATTGATAAGGGCCATTTATCCTTCCACTTTTGAAAGTTGCCTTCTTTTTAGGTGATGTCCAGATGCCACCACCTTAGAACTCCTGGAGGACGGCAAGAAGCTTGGCTTTTTTTTTATTAAGGTATCACTGATATACACTCTTATGAAGGTTTCACATGAAAAACAATGTGGTTACAAAACAATGTGGTTACTACATTCACCCATATTATCGAGTCCCCGCCCATACCCCATCCCATTGCAGTCACTGTCCATCAGTGTAGTAAGATGCCACAGAGTCACTATTTGCCTTCTCTGTGCTACACTGTCTTCCCCATGATCCCCTGCACACCATGTGCACCAATCATAATACCCCTCAATCCCTTTCTCCCTCCCTCCGCACTCGCCCTCCCTGACCCCTCCCCTTTGGTAACCGCTAGTCCCTTCTTGGAGTCTGTGAGTCTGCTGCTGTTTGTGTCCTTCAGTTGTGAAGAAGCCTGGCTTTTAAGGGAGTTTATGGAGGTGGAAAAGGTGACAAGCGAGGGGATCCTGTTCCCAGACTCCAAAGTTCTTTGCTTTCTTTAAACAGCAAACCCACAGCCTGTCTCTTTCTCTAAGGGCCTAAAATGCATTTGCCCAGTTGCATCCTCAGCCTTTCCCGGAAGCAGATCATCTGGGTTTGGTAAGAGAGAAAAAGGAGGATGGGGACTCCAGAAACTCCTCCCGGCTCAGCCTCCTCATTCTGGCACTCCGTCCCCCTGTACTAAGCGAGCCCTGACCTATTTATCTTACTCTGTTTCTTCCTTCTCAGAAACCCCCACGTCCTGCCCCAGCTTCGGGGCTTCAGAACCCTTCTACCGTCGCGTTAGTCGCCCTTCTTCCACATCACGAACACCCTGCCTAAGCAGGACAGGCAGAATATCCCAGCCAGGGAACCCCTTTTCTCTGGCATCCGGTGCTTCCGCCTCCGGGGCAGAGACTCCGCCCCCTCACCGTCCCAGCTGAATGCCCTGGAAGAACAGCCGGAAAAGCCTCCGCCTGCTCAGATCGGGATAAGCGAGAAGCTGGTTCTTTCACGCAGCTCACTGCGCTGCAGGAACCGCCGCGGCGGCCGGCACAGCAGCACCTGGGCCCCGCTCAGGCCCGGCTCCACCTGGGTCCCGCTCCGGCCCGGCACGGGCGGCGTGTCGGAGGCTTCAGCACCACGGACAGCGCCCCGCCGGCGGCCCTCGGCCAGCCGCGCGCTCCAGCCGCTCTAGGCGAGTTGGCGAGCTATGCCCACGGCATGGCCCTGCGCCCCGGCCCCATGGCGCTGCTTCTCAGTTTCTGCCTTCTCGGGCTGTGCTCAGGTAGGGACAGGTCGTTGCTCTCTGTCTCACCTTGGTCAGTCTGGAAGGTGGAGGGAGGGATCCCTGGGAGTGGGGGAGTCTGTTGAGTTAGGGGAGAGACCCTGCGATACTGAACTGGGAGGAGGACATACTGAAGGAGTAAATGATGTAAGGAAGAGACGGAACCGGGGCAATGGTGGTGGGGAGAGGGTGGGCCCGGAGAGGATGGAGGGAGGGGGTCTCCCCAGGCTTTCTGGGGGCGGGGCAGGAGGGCAGACTATGATTGTGTCTGAGATGCCATTTGACTTCTTGCTAGAAGCATTATCTCCAGAAACCTACCTGGCTCAGCAACCTCCCTTGGCTCCCCATTATTTCCTGTCCTCCACTTTGGGCTCCTGATACTGGTCACTCCACAGGGGCAAAAAGAAGAGCAGTGACTTCTCAACTCTGTAGGGTGGGACAGGAGACTCGGGAGAGAAGGAGCTCTGCCAGGCTGAGGGCAGGGAGGAGCTCTCGAGGGTGGGGTGCATTTGTGCAGAGTTGCAGGAGGTAGTGTGGAGGGGCAGGTACAAAGGGAACATAAACCTAATAAGCTTTCCACACCTGCATGCCGTCTCATGGGGCTCCCATCTGTGTGGAAGTTGGTATCTTATGGTATCTTATGCCATAACCTACAGCTCAGGCAGTTCAACTATTCTACTCCAACCCAGTGCCTTTGAGGGTGGGAGATGGGGTCACAGCCTCAGTCACGTATGGGGGCACATAGCGTTACTTGTGTACATAGATGGGCACTGACTGAGGAGGAAGGGTGTGTGGTGGGACATAAATAACTATTCTCCTCCAGTCTTTTTTTTCCACCTTCCCAAGTTTCCCCTGATTCAAGGTATATTTTAGGAGAGGCCAGGGAAACAGAAATCTCATCTTTTGAAACCACCCTTTTCTTGCAGGAAGAGCCAGTCTCCACTAATCTTTGCAGAACCAGTTCTTATTCTGGAGGCATCTGTGTGGGGCTGTCTGGGCCCCTTGGTCAGTGGTCTCACAGGGGCTTCCCCCTATGGGTAACCTAAGTACTTTGCTGTATGCTAGGCATGGAGCAGTGGGAAGCTATAGCCTCCTGTTTGGGCCTGGGTGGTCACACTTGCCCAGGGAGGGTGGCATCCTCGGTGGGTCCTCCTTGCCTAATTATTCACCTCCTTTCCCACCCCTCTGCCCTGCCCAGGAGTCTGGGGTACAGACACAGAGGAGCGGCTGGTGGAGCATCTCCTGGACCCTTCACGCTACAATAAGCTTATCCGTCCAGCCACCAATGGCTCTGAGCTGGTGACCGTACAGCTCATGGTATCACTGGCCCAGCTCATCAGTGTGGTGAGTGGGGCTCCTAAACTCTTGCCCAGCTACTCAAGTCAGCACAGCCAGGATGTGCTCATGTTTATACTTACTCCTCTGGAGTCCCCAAGGATTGGGGAGGTGCGGGAGGGGACATGAGGCCAGGGCCCTTCTCAGAGGTGTCTCTTCTTTCCTGCAGCATGAGAGGGAGCAGATCATGACCACCAATGTCTGGCTGACCCAGGTTAGTGCTCTTCCTGTGCACAGCCCTGGGTTTCTCCCCACCCTTTTTTTTTAGCATGTGCTTTTCCCTCTTTTAATCTCCTCTAGAGAGGCAGAAAGGATAACTTTTGCTGTCTTAAAATAACTGGATCTGAATCTTGGTTCTTTCACTTACCAGCTCTGTGACTTTGAACATGTTAAACTCTGCAAGATTTGTTTTCTCCTTTGAGAATGTACATTCTAATATAATACCTTGGTTTAGCTATGTAAATTAAAGGAGAAAGTGTCTTGTGAGACACATTTTCTGGGTAGAGAAGCCACTGTGGGAAAGCAGTGGCTTTTGAAAGCCAGATGGGCCCTTTCTTGTCCCAGTCCTTGACTTTGAGCCCCTATGGTGCAGAGGTTGGTGCTGCCTCCCTCTCTCCCTTTCCCAGGAGTGGGAGGATTATCGCCTCACCTGGAAGCCTGAGGAGTTCGACAACATGAAGAAAGTTCGGCTCCCTTCCAAACACATCTGGCTCCCAGATGTGGTCCTGTACAACAAGTAGGTGGCCCTGGAGCAATGGGAAGGCTTGAGGAGACCACGAGAGTGCTAAGGGAGGAAAGAGGTCTCTGAGAAAGTATATTAGCTTATGCTTGGGGAGAGAAGGGACTTTCTATGAGCACAGATGCACTCACTACCTAGACCAACAGACCCAGAGCAGTAAAGTATAATGTGGATAGCCCAGGTGACTTGGGCCATGGGGCCAGTCCCCTCCCAGACAATAAGGAGTCCCAGAGTTCGGAGCTGCACTGGGATACAAAGAAGGATGGACAGTCCTCAGTGCCTGAACTGATTTAGGAATAGGCTCTGTCGGAGGCTTGGGCAGGATCAAAGAACCTGGAGGTCCTGGTATCTCCTCCAGATTCCATTCCCTTCCCTGCAATAATTCCCTCTTACCTCCAAGATCCAAAACACTAGCAGGATCATCTCCTCACCCACCTGCCACTGTCCCCCCTCATAGCGTGGGGCTTCTCACTCTGGCCTCACTGCCTCCTAATCAGGACACCCCATTTTCCCACTGACCCACACAGATCCCCTTCTTGCTCAATTCTTGCTCCACTTCTCTAAAGTTCTAGATGGTTACCCCTAGACCTGGGTTTCCCCTCCCCATATCTCCCGTGGCTTTCCTCCTCTCCCAGTCAGGGCTGGGTTGAAGGGGGGGGGTAGAGGAATGCTTAGGGCTGAATGTGCTTATCCCTTGGCAGTGCTGATGGCATGTATGAGGTGTCCTTCTATTCCAACGCTGTGGTCTCCTATGACGGCAGCATCTTCTGGCTGCCACCTGCCATCTATAAGAGCGCATGCAAGATCGAAGTAAAGCACTTCCCATTTGACCAGCAGAACTGCACCATGAAGTTCCGTTCATGGACTTACGACCGCACGGAGATTGACTTAGTGCTCAAGAGTGATGTGGCCAGCCTGGATGACTTCACTCCCAGTGGTGAGTGGGACATTGTGGCGCTGCCCGGCCGCCGCAATGAGAACCCAGACGACTCCACTTATGTGGACATCACCTACGACTTCATTATTCGACGCAAGCCACTCTTCTACACCATCAATCTCATCATCCCCTGTGTGCTTATCACCTCACTAGCCATCCTTGTCTTTTACCTACCGTCTGACTGCGGTGAGAAGATGACGCTGTGCATCTCGGTGCTGCTGGCGCTCACCGTCTTCCTGCTGCTCATCTCCAAGATCGTGCCGCCCACCTCCCTCGACGTGCCTCTTGTGGGCAAGTACCTCATGTTCACCATGGTGCTCGTCACCTTCTCTATCGTCACCAGTGTGTGTGTGCTCAACGTGCACCACCGCTCACCCACTACGCACACCATGGCACCCTGGGTCAAGGTCGTCTTTCTGGAGAAGCTCCCCACGCTGCTCTTCATGCAGCAACCGCGCCACCACTGCGCACGCCAACGTCTGCGCCTGCGGCGGCGCCAGCGCGAGCGCGAGGGCGCAGGTGCCCTGTTCTTCCGCGAAGCCCCGGGGGCCGACTCCTGCACGTGCTTCGTCAACCGCGCCTCCGTCCAGGGCTTGGCTGGGGCGTATGGGGCTGAGCCAACGCCGGCCGCAGGCCCGGGGCGCCCTGGGGGACCGTGCAGCTGCGGTCTCCGGGAGGCGGTAGAAGGAGTTCGCTTCATTGCGGACCACATGCGGAGTGAGGACGAGGACCAGAGCGTGAGTGCGGCTCGGGGAGTCGGGGAGTGAGATGCTGAGGCTGCCGGGCCCTCGGTATCTGGAAAGCAGCGGCTTTGCATAGACACACAAAGCTAATAGGAGTGCAGGGTGCAGGAAATGTGAGTCTGGCCTGGTGCTGTGCGCCTGGGCGTGACTTGGGTTCTCCGCTGGTTTTCGGGAGGCGGCTTAAATTGGAGTCGGTACAGAATGACCTTGCGACTTCCCGAGGACTAGTATCGGGGCAAAATGCCTCAGCTGTAGCATCTTAGCGTGGGGAGGGGTCCCTTCAGGGTTTGCAGCTGGGCTGTGGCCCCACGGGCCCCTCCCTGCCCCTTTTATTCCCAAATCCAAGTTGTTGATCTGCCACTCTACGCACGAGGAATGAGCCCTCTGTGTCCATCCCCCACGCCCCAGGGTGGAGGGCAAACTTGAGGGCCATAGAAGAGGTGTGTGTGTTGGGGGGAAGGGTTAAGAGGTTCCACGAATCGGCTGGAGGCAGAGAGGACAGAGTCCCAAATCAATAACCCTTTCTGCTCTTCTGGGTCCCTGGAGACAGCTTGTGTAATATTTATAGAGGTGGGGGCAGGTGGAGGCAAGGGCTTCCTGGAGCCACCCCTCAGCTTTCTGCAGGTAGGGTTTTTCTGCATCGGCGCCCTGAAAGGGCAGTCCTTGAGCACCGAGCCAGGGAGTGGGGAGGGAGACTATGAGTTGCCATCCCCTCACTCTGGGGACTGTGGCTGTGGCTGGCCCTGCCTTGCAGACAATCTCCAGCTACCTGGCTGGTTCCAGGCTGTGGCTATGCTGTTGTCATGGTGACTGGCCAGGTTTCTGCTGGGTCCTGCAGCCATTCTGGTTTGGGGGTAATAGGGCATGGGGGAGATGGGGCGTGTGGGGGTCGGGGGTTATCTCTTCAACTATTGGTTGTGGGTGGGGAGAGGGGTGGCTTCAGAGCCTAGAGTTTCTGTTTCCTGAGAGCACAGGATATCAGGCTGGAGCTGGGGCTTGGGCCAGGGAGCAGGTTAGGGTCTTATGGAGAAAGAAGGGCCCTGAGGCTGGGGAAGACTGAGTAGGAGCCTCAGAGCCAGGAGAGGCGGAATGGGAGATGCGGGGGTGCAGGGGCTCATCTGGCTGCATCACCCACCTCCACCTCCCCTGTGGCAGTCCACTGAAGTAATGTGCATTTACTGAGCTGGGTGCTAAGGATGCTATGACCTACTTGGGTGTTGCACAGACATCTCAAGCTTAACATGCCCAAGACGGAGTGCTTGATCTATATGCCCACCACCCACTTGCTCTTCCTCCAATCTTCCCATCGTTTACTAAATGGCATCACCATCCACCCTGTGGTTTAGACAAAACACCTGGAGTGATCCTTGACTCCTCTCTTTCTCTCTTACCTCCTGGACCATACAGATAATTGGTAGTCCTGGCCTGTGAGCACAGGACTCCAAAATAATTCTCCAGCTTTTTTTCTTTCTTGACCATCTGCAATAGCACCCTGGCTGTAGGCCTCCATCAGCTTTTGCCTGGACCAGGGCAGTCTCCTAATGGTCTCCTTGACTCAGCTCTTGTGCTCTTCCATCCAAATGGACAATGTCTCCTCCTCACCTTGTGCTGTCTCCTCTTGCTCAGGTCAGCAGCTTATCTGTTCTAAAGCTAAGCTCTTTCCTGCCTCAGGACTTTTGCACATATTGGATTCTGCCTGGAATGACCTTTTTTTCCTTTTAAAAATTATTGCTACTATTTTAAATTATTGCTCTACTGTTTATAAAATAAGAGTAAGTTGCAGACATCGTGACCCTTTATCACAAATACTTCAGTGTGTCTCACCTAAGAATAGGGATGTTGTTTTGTGTGACCCAAGTTCAGTGATCAAATTTGGGAAATCTAGCATAAGTACAATACTTTGATCTGATACAAAGTCCATTATTAAAAGTTTTCCAGTTTCCTATGTATCAGTGTCCTTTGTAGCTTCTTCCCACCCCAATCCAGTTGCATTTGAATTGCGTTTAGTTGTCCCATCTCTTTATTTCCTTCAACCTGGAATAGTTGCTCAGCTTTGTGCTTCTTGACATAAACATTTTGAAGGGTACAGCCGATGGAAGGTCCCTCAGTTCGGGTTTGTCTAACTGTTTCTTCATGTATTCCTGCCATAGCTGGCTCCTTCTCACTTGTCAGATCTTACCTTAAATGTCAATTCCTCAAACCCTAACTCCCCAGACCACACCCTGAATTATATGTTCCCCTCCATTTCTCTCTGTCAGTCCTTTGTTTCCTTAAGGCACTCAGCAGCGTGTAATTGTTTTGTCTTTAGTGTCCCTCTCCTTCGGTAGACTGTAAACCACGGAATGCATTTTGTGCTCTCAGTCATATCCCCACTGCCTAGCCTGGTGCCCGGTACATAGTAGGCACAAGTGTGACATGAATGAGTCACTCTTCAGCTGCTGACTAAATGAAGGTGTGCAGCTGTCTCCTTCCCACACCCCAGCTGGCTGGGCTGGAGATGAACATATGCACGAAGGTCTAGACTCAGGCTGGGGTGGAGCAGCTCTGAGGGGAGGCCAGCCTTTCATGTAGACCCTGTGATGGCTCTCAAGCCAAAAAGGTGGTTATTCTCTTTTTGACTGATTTGCTCACATCTGGGAACCCAGGCCGTACCCTCTGGTGCCCGTGTGCTCAAGGTGGTGATTTTGGGTGGGGCTCCCTGTCCAGTCACCTCAGGAGGCCTGCAGAGGCAGCCATTCATTCTCTAATTTAACACCCATTTGCTGACACTCTGTGTTTCAGATGCTGGAATTACAAACACGAATCAGGTCCCTGTAGTTAAGGAGCTTGTTGCTGGAGTGGAGCACATGCAAATCGAAATGACAGTACAGTGCAGTAAAATACTGTGATAGCACTGTGTACACAATGCTGAGGCAACCCAGAGGGGCCAGTGGTTCAGTCTGATCAGGGGGACCAAGTGAGATCACTTCATAGCAGAGGTGACATTTGATCTAGGCTTTGAAGGATGTGTGGGAGTTCACCAGGTAGAGGAAGGGAAGACTGGAATTCTAGACAGAGAGAACATTCAAAGGCACACAGACCTGAGAGGACACGCTGGGGTTTGGCATGTCTGGGCTATAGGACAAGGACAGGGGGTAGGCTCATATTGTCATGGGGTATCCTGAATCCAAACTTGGGAGTTTGGATGGGCCCTGAAGGCTGTGGGGCCACTAAAAGCTTTTAAGCAAGCAAGATTGAGCCAGGCTTTGGGAAAATCACTCTGGGATTATTGTGGAGGGAAAGGGGTGGTGAGTACGTGTGCATGTGTGTGCACACGTGTGGTGGGACCTCCTTATGCCCATTCTGACCTACCCTGCATCATGTGACTGACACCTGGGCCTCCTTTGTCCCCTCTTTCCAGGTGAGTGAGGACTGGAAGTACGTTGCCATGGTGATTGACCGCCTGTTCCTTTGGATCTTCGTGTTCGTCTGTGTCTTCGGCACCGTCGGCATGTTCCTGCAGCCTCTCTTCCGGAACTACACCACCGCCACCTTCCTCCACACAGACCACTCGGCTCCCAGCCCCAAGTGAGGCCCTCCCCAGCTCCAACCTCCTTCACCCCTCTGCCCACTGTTGGACAATAGTTTTGGGGGGAAGAGGGAAAGTGAGCTGCCAGGAAGAGGGGCGCTGCCACCGCCGATCCATCCTATCACCTCGTCTGGAGCCACTCCTTCACACCCCCACCCACACAGCCAGCACCCACCCTGCGGCTGGACCAGCTGCCTGTGTTTTGGCTGCTGCCGCCCTCCTCTTGTACCAACCCGGGCAATAGTGTTGCTGGACCAGGAAGAAGGCTGGGAAGTGGAGGACAGAGACCTCTGAGCCTTCCACCCTGAGGACAGTGTGATGGGGGAGGGGCCGAGAAGGGGACAGAATCTTCCACTGCCTCCAGAGCAGGGGGAAGGGGCCTGTGGCAGGAGGGGAGGTGGGACAGGCTCCAGTTATGCAATGGTAGCTCAGAAGGGAGAAGCAAGAGGGGGGAGGCCTGGATCTGACATCTGTGCCTGCCTAAGCAGAGGCAGCTGGGCTGCCCGAGGGCTAGCCTGGCACTGCTGTCCGACTCCGGGGAGGCAAGTAAGCCCAGTCCCTTCTCCGGGTGAAGAATTCTCCGCACCTCATAGACGTCCCTCTCCTTCCTTTCCTCTTTGGACCGGGGTGTGGTGGGCAAGGTATTAGGAAAGCCTCTGACTTCTGAGTCTCTGGGTGACTTCCTTGGAGCCTGAGGTCCAAATACTTGGACTCTGTGCAAGTTCACAGCTTCCCCGCACCCCCGACTGAACTGACTGGTTGTTTGACGTGAGTAAACTAAGGATGTCACCTTTAAGCAGACCCAGCCTTTTTGCCCAGAGCAGAGCAGGCCGGGCGGGAGGGAGCGGCTGGAGGCCAGCTGCGCAGGGAGTGGCGCGGCCAGGATGGGGCCACATCAGCACTGCCTCTGCTCCGGGGCTTCAGCGCGCAGCTCGTCCTTCCTGCTCCGGCCCCTCCTCTTTTCCCTCCCAACCAAACCAGAGCAGGGTCTAAGCCGAACTTCAGAAGGACAGGCCTGCTGCTACCGGCTCCCCAGAAAGCACAGCCTTCGGCTTCTTGTCCTGTGGTCCCTGGAGGCTGTATCCTGACGCAGCTCCCAGGGACCGGCTGGAGGCCACCTGGCCCATTAGCCGAGGAAACAGACCTCATACAGGATCTCCTGCCCCCACTCCCCCACGTGGCTCTGATTTGTGGGCCCAGTCTGGGCTCATTGCCTGGTCAGCAGGTGGCTGGTCGCAGAGGGGTCAGTCTGCCAAGTGCACCCGGGGGCCTGCTGTCCCGCGGAGGCCAGCTGGACTCCTGCTCCTCCCGGCACAGCGGTGGGTGGGAGGAGTCAGACTAGGCAAATAGCGGGGCAGGGATCACAGCCCGCTGGGGAGGCCCGTCAGCTGCTGCAGAGACAGTCCTTACTTTTAGTACTTCCAGGTGGCTGTTGTCCAGGGAAGTCTGGATTGCAGTCTGCTCTGTAGTCTGGACTCTAGTCCGCTGCTTACTCGTCCAGCCACCTTGAGCAGGTCTCTTTCCTTTGCTAGATCTCAGCTTTCTCATCTGTACATGCCCGCGTCATGGCGCTGCTGTGAGGGTGAAGTAATGTTTGTGGAAAAGCTCAGTCCTGTTCCTGCCTCAGCTAGACGCTTAAATGAATGTGGGGTCAGAGCTGGTGGGAATGGGGTCACCTCTCATGCCAGTCCCCGTCCCGGGCCCTCCTTTACCCTATCTCTTCCTCGAGCAAACCAAGTCCCGGGAAACAGGGCCTGGAGCTGGGGGGGTGCAACTGGAGGTGAGCGTTACAGGGAATTCTCAGGTGAGTCCCATGGATGGGCCTCTCTCTGGAGCGTCCTCAGCAAAGTTACATTCCGTCCCTGGGCTGAGCTCCAGCCTGGCCCTGCCTCCCTTCTGGGTCAGCTCCTCCCCATGCAGGTACGTGCTCAGGGCCCCCAGGCTGATCTGGTCCTGTGCTCACTGGAAGGACATCACTGGATAGGCGGCCAGCAGCTGGGAAGATGTGCCTCAGCTCACGCCCCACTTGCCAGCATGGGCTCAGGGATATATCTTCTGAGGGGGGCGTGTCTCGGCACTGTGGAAACTCCCTTCTGGAGCAAAAGATTGAGAGTTGCCTGTATTTTGCCTGGACCCGCCTCAAACTCACTGCCCTGTAGAAACATCCTGAAACCTGAAGCAGCAGCTGGAAAGGAGCCCTCCCCCTGAAGGATGCGGGCCTCCCTCTGGAGGGTAGGCTGTGGCCTCCGGCCTGGTGCTCCTAGGCTTCTCACCAGGGCTGGGCTGCTGAGGCTTTCCTGCTTTTAGTACTTCCTGCAATCGACTGTTCTCCAAGTAAGTCACCAAACGGTGCGAGAGGGGCTGTTAGCCAACAGCTGGCCCAGCTCCTCTCCATGAGCCGTGTGACACATACGGAAACCAAGGCCCAGAGATGGCTGCCTGGCCGTGTATAAGCACTGAACTCTGCACTTGCTCATTCTCATCTGTAAAATGGGCATGCCAGAGCTGGCTGAGGGCTGCAGCCAGGAAGAGAGGGATCGCTGTCTATAAAGAGGTGAACCGGGCAGGGTTTCTCGGGTGGGGCCGTTCCCTCCCTCTCTGGATGCAGCCTTTTGGGGTCCATGCCAGCGGGGAGGAGGGGAGGGCTGAGGTGGAAGGAGGAGGGCGTGGTGTTACCTCATGTTGGGACAGGGTTTGCACCCGCAGGGCACTGGGCAGCTTTGGAGAACCGCTGTCTTTCACTCTTGGGCCCTTTGACCTCTTCTTGGTGTCAGGGAAGCTCCATGCTCCCATCCGTGGTGCGGCTGTCTCTGGAGAGAATTGAGCACCCAGCTCAGTTCTGGGCGGGGACCACAGGCCCCAGATCTGAGAAGGAGGATCTGAACATGGTGGGCATGGGAGGGGGGCAGCCAGGAAACACGCTGGAATCGTCTCCATGTGCGGTCTGCTGACCATTTCTGTCTGAAAAGTGGAACTGCTTTGACAGGCCTTGCAGCGGGAGGAAGGCACTCACCTGGCAGTGAGGCACCTAAGACTGGAACAGCTGGTGTGAAGTTATTGAAAATTTAAAAGCAAACAAGACACAGGCAGCACCCCCAGCTGGCATTTTCTGCAGAGATAGCAGTCTGTGGGGGAAGGGCAAGGTCGTTTCCCTCTAAGGAAATAGGGAATGCCCTGTGGGGGAAATGGGGGCCTTGACTCCTTGTTCTGTTTCCTCCCAGTCCCAGGATCGTCTACTGTTTCCTCTGGGCCTGCTGGGTGCCATTTGCTCCAGATACACTGTCTTTACTCCTCACAACAACCCTGTAGAGAAAGGGCCCCTGTTGACAGCTCGGACCAAGTGACGGCTGGTGAGCTGTGCTGGCCTGAGACCCAGGCCCGACCCCAGAGCCCACGCTCTTGCTGGGCCTTTGAGGCATGTAGGAGGAAAGAGAAGGGGGTGGTGTTCAGGGTGTTCTCTGGATTCACTCCCCAAGCTGGAGCTGATTCAGTTTCCACCATCACCCTCCGCTTCTAGGCAGTTGGGCTGGTGTTGCAGCGTCCCTCACAGCCCAGCTGGTGCTGGCCAGTCACCCCCTCAGACCAGACTGAGGACAAGCAGCCACTTGGACTATTCACCCCAGCAGGTCTGAGCGACCAGTATGCTAGTCACACGGTTCCCAGGGACTGTAGGGCCTGCAACCATTAGGACAGTGCCCTCACCCACCCTCAGTGCCCCCCGGCTCCCCACATTGGCCGTGGCCTCCCATGTCTGTGCTCCTGGACTATTTGCACTGTTCTAGCCCACTCTAGGCCAGGCTGATTGGGAGCTCCAGATTCTCGTAAAGGAAGTTGCGTCTTATCTGTTATATTTGGAAGTGGAGGGTGGGGGGAGGGTTGGTAAATATGGGGAAAAGGGGAGAATGCTGGGGACACTGGACTTGTGAGGGGCTAAAGACATTTCAAGAATCTAAAGGTCAGTGATAACTTCAATTATTGTGATTTATTGCCTTACAAGTCCATTCAGCAGATGGAAAAGGAATGGCCACATGGATGGAGACCATAAACAGCTCCTGGAGAGCAGCCTTTTGAAAAAGGAACCCCGAAGGGCAGGACAGAGGTGAGGGCAGGCCTCCTAGAGGTAAGGATGGCTGGGGCCTCCTCTCTCAGCTCACGCAGTCCAGGAGTCAAGGCTGTGGTCCATGCGGGGGGCGGGCCTGCTCCCAGAACACAGGTTTGACCGAATGATGAAATGCAGGGTAAACAGCATCTTAAATGATGAGCTGAAGGAAATCCTCGTGGGCTCCTGTAGGACAGTCCTGCTTCACTGCCCACATGGAGATACGTAGTGGGGACAGACTTGTTCCCTCTGTCAATGAGTCTGGCACTTGCCTTGGGGATGAAGGAAATTGACCACTTTCTAAAAGACCTGGATACTGTATTTCCCTCCCAGGAACAAGGAGCTGCCTGGGAACGGAGAGGGCAGGGGTCAAGGATGAGTTTTAGAGAAGTTCTAGACTAAATTACAATGTGGAAAGCGGTGCATTCTCTTTGAAATTCAGGATAGAGAAAAATTCCAGATCTGAAGGAAAAGCAACCGGCCCAGTCCAAGTCCCAGCTCCAACTTCGCTCCAACTAAGCACATTCCTGCAGCAGAACACTGCTGGTGGTGCTGGAGGGAAACGATGCAGGAGGGGGTCAGCTGTGTATGTGATGTGTGATACTGTCTCCAGGGATGCTTTCCTATTCCAGGCCTCAAAAATCTTGCATTATGAAGTGTCTGGGGACAGACATTAAGTGGTGGGCTCTGCTGGGGAAAGCAGAGCTGTGCAAGTATCTCAGGGTGCCTGATGCACATCCATCCAGACACAAACTCTCCTCCCAGGAAGGCCCTTTGAAATTGCTCCTTCCCAAGGGCTGAGGCCAACCCTGTCCCCAGCTTGTGTCGGATGCAGCTGGTGCTGTTACCAGAAATGCCAGGACCACAGCTCCCTGTCCCCTCCCCCAAGAAAGCAAGACTGAGGCTTTCTAACAATTAAGATTCTTCTTTTATTTACGAGGAATGTATATTGTTAGTCACGGTTGTCAAGAGACACATAAAGCAGAATCATAAAACTGACTGCAGCCATCACGGCACCCAAGTCTTTGCCTGGGCTCTTCCCTGCTCTGCTGGTGGGGTCACTGCTGAGACCCCCAAAGCCAAGAAAGTCCCTTCAACATGAGTAAAGGAAATAGCTTCAAGCAGCGACAATTTTTACAAGTGATTATTCAAAGGATGCACAATAGCCACAGTTCAGACAAATCAACTACAAAGGCCATTAAAAAAAAAAGGATGGGAGAAGAAGGGGTCCTGCTTATTAAAAACAAAGGTTGGACAAAAAAGTGAAGAGGACACTCTAGGTGGGCGCTCTGCCTCCTCCTATCCTGTGTCACGTAGAGGGGCACTGGGCGTGGGCGAGTGCGGCCGTGCAGGGCCTGACGAAGGCTCATTTCCAGCCGGCACGTGGGTAAGGAATGCCTTGCTGCCCTCCTGTAGCAGGAGCAGACCGCTGCAGGCTTGCTAGACAAAGCCCTGGGGCGAGCTGCGCTCTCATCTTTGGAGACCTCCTCCCATGGGAAGGCGATGCAGCTGAGTCGGAGCTATGCAGGAGACCCTAACGCCCAGAATGGACCAGAGGGACAGGACTTTCCGGGAAGTCAGGAGGTGGTGCCCTCCAGTGTGAAGAACCAGGCAGACGAGCTGCCTCCTGGGGCAGGACTGATTTCATGTGCCTGCAGCAGGTCTGCAGGACTGGGGTGGCGCAGATCCCTTCCCCCAGAAGACAGGCATGTTTCTCTACTAGTTCCTTGAGACCCTTGTGTGTTCTGCCAGGACATCCTTAGTGTATTTTAAAAATCTGGGTTTTCTTATTTTGGTTATGTTTTGGTCAAAAGTACGGAGGGAATAGTTCCAGGAAGTGTGATGTGGATTTATCTACTGCAGAAGATGTGGGACAGACAGAAGGTTAACTAGTCAGTAGTTTGTGGAGCCTGGGGAGGATGCAAATCATCCACCCTAACTTGGCATGTTCACAGATGGAGACAGAGGAATCATCTAGTGGCAGGCTTGGGTCTGGAGGTGGCAGGGCCCTAGCACTTCTCTTAAGAGTGTCTGGTGACTTAGGCCTGAGCCAGACTCCAAAAGAGGCCAGAGGCTCTGACCACAAGAGTCACTGTTAGTTTGAGGTGTAGACAAAAGGTCTCACCTCACAAAGTTTCAGGCCAACCTGCCCTTCCACCTACAGCTACTGCTGTCTGTCAACTCTACGAAGATTCCCTGACAGGGAGGGAGACCTCAGGACTGTCACCTGCCCACGAACAACTTTCTGAAGCTGTCTGACTAAACAAAAGCACTCGGATGGATGGAAAATTGTCTGATTTTTAAATCTGTGCAATTAATTATAGGTTAACTGTAGCAGTTCAGAATCAACATTTATGGCACTCTTTTAAAAACTCCTAATTTACACATGACTTGGTCAACTTCCCTTGTCACCGTCATGAGACACAGACCGGGGGGAATAGTGATCTGACTCAATATGATCATTTGCCCTTATTCATGCTGAGTCCTGATTATCTGAGCAGAGATGATTTGCCCTCTAGGATTTACCCTGGATTTTTTTCTACCAGTTGGTTGGGGTCTGCAGCCCTGCTGTGCCCCATTGGTAGGATAGAGTCCTAGGAATGCTTTAGGAGGGGCAGCTGGGAGCTTGGCATCATTTCAAGGCATGTCTATGCTCCACAGGACGTGGTCTGTGTCACCCCCAGAGGGGAGGGCTCCGCTACTGCTTGGGCACTTCCCTTAGCCAGGTCAGACTGGTCCTGGCCTTCCCTGCCACCTGGGGAGGGACACACTTCCTGAGTAGCAGCCTCCCAGCCCCCTGGCCCCTCCCAAGCTAGCTAAAGTGCAAGATCCGAAGATGGCTGAGCACTGTCTGCAGACTCCGATCACGCTTGGCACCAGTAGTTGACTGACTGTAGTTTTAAACTCATGCCCTTATTCATGTATCACCAAATTCTTTTAAGTTCACCTCTTTACCCTCTTGGAGGAGAAGGAGAAACTTAACGATCACAAGGAAGGAATCTCAAGGGGGGAGGCGGGGAAGCAGAGGGGCCTGTAGAATCCACAAATGAAAGCATCTGGCCCAACATGATTCACACAATTAATTGACTGGAACCTAAGCAAGACCACGAGAGGTCAGTGTAGCGAACACAAAGGGGAAGGAAATGAAAAAACCGAAACAGCCGAGGAATCGGGCGGCAGGTCCTCAGTGACTGCTAACGCTTTGGATGGAAAGAAGACCCCTTTTTTCTCCCCTTAGTTCTCTACCTCTTTGCTTGGGAAGAGAAGGGGGCCTGGTTGGACCTGGCCTAGTATTCCCAAAGAAAGCGGGATAAATAGGAACCCAAAGTTCTCAGTATGACCAGTTGTGGTTCCAGTTAAAAAAAAAGAAAAGAAAGAAAGAAAACCATCCTCAACTAATGAGGTGAGGAGACGAGGAATGCTCTGCCTACCCGTCTCGGCCCGGTGGGAACCCCCATCCCACCCGCCACTGGCCCCACTATACTGGGCAGAGGTAAAAATTCTTCTCCTCCTGGGGTTTGCTTATCCAATTCCCGTAACCCATGTCCTTCAGGCTTTTCTTGAAGTAGTTCTTGGCTGTCTCGTAGTCACGGGCAGCCTTCTTGGCCTCACCATAGGAGAGTCTAAGTAGATCCCTGCGGCACCGGAAGGAGCAGAGCTTCTTAAATAGAAGAAAAATGTTCTTTTTGGACACCCGGGACAATTCATTCTGCGGCCTGGAGAAATAAAAGCACTTGCTAGTCACCTGGGACCAGAAAAGGTGGTAGCCCCGCTGGGGACGTGGCCCTGGTGGGGTGGGTAGTTTCTGAGCTCTGGAGATTGGCAAATGTGGTGCCCCCCGTGCAAGCCAGGGCAGGATGTATGGCTTGGCTTTTCCTGTGCCCGCTGCTCCTTACCCATCCACAGTGCCCCTGGTCCCATCCAGAATCTCTAGGTCGTAGCCATCAGCCAGACACCAGTTGACGCTCGTCTCCTTGGTCTTCCCGGACTGCCTCTTGGAATCATATACACTGACTCGGCCGACCTGCGAGTCCCAGAACAAAGGGAGAAAGATGGAAACCTTTCAGGCAAAAGATTCTAAAGCAGGGACTCAAGACTCAGGAAAGAGGCAGTGTGGGGTCATGATCTTTCCCACATACTTAGGATTCTGTGTGGCTAAGACTTGAGACATACTAACCCCACCATGATTTAAATGAATGCCAGACTTGATCTTGAAGAGGGGCAAAGGTCAGTTCTCAGGCCACCAACTAAGGCTCCTTGCCTACAATGTACAGTTTTGCTCTGCTAATAGGAAGGCTTAAAAAGGAGAAAATGTCACAGGACAACAGATGGGGCTAGAGCACCTTGGGGTGGTTGACAATAAAGGGATGTCGTAGTCCATCCTCGAATGTATTCCCATCTCTTGTCACACGACAGCAGATGGCACGAGTCAGATGCCCTTGGCTGAAAAGGTAACCTGGGTACGAGAAAGAAACGCAGACACTTGTGTTTGCACCAATACCCCTGGGAGGCAGAGGCAGGTGGGGTGTCTGAAGGTACAAGACAGAGGTGTCAGGACAGAGAAACAGCTCCCTCAAGAGGAAGCACCTTCTGCTTGTGGCTACCCTGGATGTACAAGGGATCATCAAACATCTAAGCACAACGATGAGGTTCCAGGTAAGCCCATGGGCTGTGGATAATCAGGAAGCTAGCTGCTGTGTTTCTTTAATGCATCTTGAAGACACCTGCCTGGCATGTCCTCACTTAGGCTTGCCTAAACCAACCTTCCTGTCACAGCACACCGGGCAGTCGACGTCAGTTACCGACCACAGCATCAGACCGCTTTGAGAACGGGAGAAACCATGTTAACACCTGGCAACAGAGGATGCAGTCTGCTGGGATCTGGGAGGCAGAATGACAGACTGGCTCCAGCTCCCGGTTCCTTACCTAGTGTGACAGATTTGAGATACACAGGCTGCAGGAAGTGGGTCAACAGTGCCCCTTGCAGGCCAAGCACATTCCAGCGAAGGATTTTGTCACTACAGGACATGGTACGGAGTCTCTCCCCGAGCCGAATGCCATCCCACGTTGGTACAATGTCACTGGACTCCACTGGGATAGTGCCTTCCCCTGTGGGAGAGACGCGGGTCAGACCCACAGGGCCCCTGGACCAAACTGCTCCCTGGTGTGGTGTTTAAACTCCTTAGACTTCATTCATTCATTCTTCATGTATTTCACAGCACCTACTATGTGCTGTGCATGATGCCTGGTGCTAGAAAACGAGGGTGAGCAAGACCAAAGAGGATCCTTGTGCTCCTAGAATGTTTATGGGTCTAGAGGCCAGGAAGGGATAGGCATAAAGTAAACAAATCTACATGTAAGAATTCTAAATGGTAACAGTGCTCTGAAGGCTATGAGGCTGTTGTCCTGAAGGCCAGCTCAGAGAACCTCCTGGGACTGTCAGGGAAGCTGAGTCAGGAAGGAGGAGAACGAATCACTGAGCAACAGTATTGCAGACAGAGAACAGCAGAAGCAAAGGCCCTGAGGAAGCAAGAGGTTTGGCTGTTCAGGAAGCTGGCAAGGAGCCAGGGGTACTGAAGCTTATGTGAGGGCAGGTTTTGATTTTATGTCAAGTGTAGTGTGGAACCACTACAGGATGATGGCTTTTTTGAGATATATAATTCACCCACTTAAGCCATACAATTCAATGGTTTTTAGTTTATTCAGAGTTGCGCAACCATTCCCCACAGTCCATTTTAGACCATTTCATCACCCTCAAAAGAAACTCCCTACCCATTAGCAGTCACTTCCCATCCCATTTCTCTCTCATCCCTCTCACCCCTAACCCTAGGCAACCACTAATTTAGTTTCTGCTTCTATAGATTTGCCTATTCTTGACTTTTCCTATAAATCATTTAATATGTGATCTTCTGTGACTGGCTTCTTTCATTTCCTATGTTTTCCAGGTTCAGCCGTGCTATAGTGTGAATCAGCACTTCATTCCTTTCTATGGCCACATAATATTCCACTGCACGGATGCTCTCATTTGTTTATCCATTCCTCTGCTGATGGACATCTGGGCTGTTTCCACTTTTTGGCATTGTGGAGAGTGCTGCTAGGAACACGGGTGTATCAGTTTTTGTGTGGACATATGTTTTCAGTTCCCCGAGGATGCACCTAAGAGTGAACTGCTGGGTCCTATGGTGCCTCTGCATTTACACTTTAGGGTTTTGAGTGGGGCAGTGACATGATCTGATTTCTGTCTCAGGACCACTCTGATGACTGTAGAATGGCCTGAAGGGAATGGGAATGGATGTGAGGAGCCAGTAAGGAGACATGAGAGGACAGCGGAGGAGAAGCTGCTGGCAGGCGAGGCTCAGGGCCAGCAGCCAACTAGACCAGAGGGGAGCCACGCCCTTGGCATCCTTTTCTGCCGACCCCTTAGGGCTTGGCTTTGCACCACTCTTTTCCTTTTTCCCACCTTCCCCCGAGGTGATCCTATCCATTCCCATGAGTGAAAGAACAGCCACAGGAGGATGACTCCAAACCTGTATTTCCAGCCACACTCTCTCCTCTGAGCTCTAGAGGGGGTACCTCTGTCTCCTGATTTGGAGATGTCACCAGCTACCAAATTAAAAATGGAATCGTTATCTTCCCACAGACCTTCCAAGAAAGAACCCGGATCTTTGCTCTCCCTGTACACAAGACCCTCGTACTCCGATGACTAATGGCCAAAAACCGGCAGCTGTGTCCTAGTCCCTGTGACGGACGTGGGGCCTTGCAGCCTTCCCGTGGGAAGCGTGAGGTACGTGTGTCACTCACCATTCTCCACCTTGGTGCGGAGCTTGCCTTGTTTGGGATTCTCAAAGACAGGGTAGTGGCGGGAATCTGTGCTCTCCACGGCACGGTCGCTGCAGGACTTGTCAAAGAGGGCACCATCCCCACAAGGGGCCGTGCTGCAAAACGGGCATCCGTTAAAGCTGACCTGTGCAGATGATTTCATTCCCATTCCAATTTCCTGGGGCTCAAGAAGGGTCAGATACAGAAAAGGCAAGGGACTTTTCTGAAGCCTTCTACCCACTGGAGGTGGGTAGAAGTGTATGTGAGACTCATTCCACATGATATTGAGGGGTATGTACCTCAAACACAGAGCTGGGTGTAAATATCAGGCATTGAAGGAGGCTTCCAAACTTGTCCCATCAAATAAGCTCCAATTTATGGGCCAGGAGACCATTTGGATACCCAACCCTAGGGGCCGGCAGGACTAGCTCTGGTGGCAAGAGTGTACAGACCTGATATACAGATGGAACGACACGGTCTTTTTGATTTGGAGCTTTTCTCCTCCCTTCGCAGGCTCAAATATACTATCCTTTGCAGTCTGGGGATTGTATTTCATTAACTCGCTATAGAGAAACCTACAAGTAGAAAGTTTGGTTAAGACAGGTTTGATTCTGGGAATAGAAGTTTCTTCTATCATCTGACCACAAGTAAGGGGAAGTCAGCCCCACGTAAGGAAGAGCCTGAACAGTGCAGAACCTTCACGGTTTCTCTGCTTGAAAGAGGCAGTGGAAAATCCTCTGTGGGAGACCTCTGCATTTCTTGAAGCAAAGCTAGTGTTTCAGGTCAATTTCATTTTGCCAAGAGCTCCCCGCTCTGGCAGCTACAGAGATTCTAGGGCAGGGCAAACTGATAAGGACTGTAGGAGGCTGTTGCTTCTCCCCAAGTTTCTTCCTTCATCAATTCAAAAAAAGGAGAATTGATTTGCAACAGTATGGGTGGAGCTGGAGGGTATTATGCTCGGTGAAATAAGCCAGGTGGAGAAAGACAAGTACCAAATGATTTCACTCATATGTGGAGTGTAAGAACAAAGAAAAAACGGAGGGAACAAAACAGCAGCAGAATCACAGAACGGATGCTCTCATTTGTTTATCCATTCCTCTGGATAAACCCAAGAAGGGACTAGCGGTTACCAAGGGGGAGGGGTGTGGGAGGGCGGATGGAGGGAGGGAGAAGGGGATTGAGGGGCATTATGATTGGCACATACAGTGGGGGGTTCATGGGGAAGGCAGTGTAGCACAGAAAAGTCAAGTCGTGACTCAGTGGCATCTTATTACACTGATGGACAGTGATGCAATGGGGTGTGGGGGTGAATGTTGTAACCACAACATTGCTCATGTGAAACCTTTGTAAGAATGTATATCAATGATCCCTTAATTTAAACAAAGGGGTGAACTGGAGGCAAAAGTGGGCAGGACCATGGGGTTGTTTATAGATCCTCAAATAGAGATGGAAGGCTTCCTCTCCTCGTCCCTAAAGCCCTGGAGACTAAGAGGTCATTGTGCATTTTTAAAAAGGGCATGAAGCAGAGTCAGAAGGAAAGGGAGGCACTGAACAGCAGGCTGACTAGCAGGATGCAGCCTGACTCACAGAAGGGATCGGTTCCACAGGACAAGTTCAAACGGACTGGAGAAGCAAAGGCTGGTGCAGGCGGGGCAATGATGGGCCAGTGAGACGGGCACCAGGGCAGCAATGCCCTGGGCAGGCAGCGGAGTGGTGCCCGGCAGATGTCACTCACCTGATGAAGCCTCTCCGGGAGATGATCTCTGCATGGCAGTCATTGACGGTTTCTCCCTTTAGGCTGAGAGAATCCCCTTTCACACAGCGATTCCCTGGGAAGGCACCAAACAAACGTGAAATTCCCAAAGGAAAGTGATGCTGGTAGGGTAGAGGCTGTGTGTCCTTATGGCTTGAAGGCAGAAACAGCCTCGGTTTATCAGATCCTGACTCCCATACACTTCTACCTAGGAAATGAGAATTCATTCCCAACTTGGAATTAACTGTAGCTAAAACAAAATATAAACATTCTTTTCCCCCTGCCTTAAAGTCACCCACATGGGACTCCAGTAGAGAACGAAAAGGACATATGCTTCCAGGGACTGTGAAGGAGGCTGGGGGGCAGAAGGCTGGGGGCGCATGTTGCAGATCCCCACTTACCTGTCCCCAGGCTGACCACGACCCCCAGGTCTTCAGAGTCTTTCTTCATGATGATGGCTGCCAGGATCTTGCGGCCAAGCAGGGAGGGCTGGAAACTGTTGGTGAGAGCATTGAAGCACCGGTGGCTCAGCATGGCTACCTGGTCGTGGAAGGTGCTGCCAGTGAGAGGAAGCTGTGGGAACAGGAGGCCCCATCAGGCCACAGAGCCTGGTCTGCGTCCACCGTATCTCCAAGTGGGCAGGGAGATTGAGTGCTACTCGACTTGTGAGTCGTCTTTCCCCTCTCACATCTAGCGTCCCAGTTCTGTGTTCCACTGAGGCTAACATTAAAGCCTGGGAAAAATTCATGTGACAGCAAGTCGGGAGCCAGCTCCCCCCGAGAGGAGTTAGCAGGACCCCACACAAAAGAGAGCACCAAAAGTAGACGTCTTAACTGTCTTTGGCTGTGCTTCTGGGGACCTTGAGAGGAGAAGCATAGTTCTTCTGAGACTGGCCCCTGTCACTGGGGTTACCTCTGTGAAACCCATGCGCTCTGCCTTCTCGTTCTCCCCAATCAAGACGCGGAGAGCCGCATCTGCCGCGTCCTGCTTGCCTTGCTTCTTGCTGTGCGCGCAGACGGCTGGGAACCACCGACCCCCAACTTTCGCTTGGTAAACAAACCTTTGGGATGAGAAACAGACACAAGGGATAAGGACAAGCACCTGACCTTGGCAGCTGCGGCAGGGAAGGGCTAGTCTGGCTTGAGATCCGCCAGTCTTGCCGGCAGATGGACGCAGCACTCTCAGCAGCTCTGTTTCTAAAGCGGCATTTCCCAGGTTTGGACAGTCATGAATCACAATGTGATTTCTGCTCGATCGATAGCACTGGACTATTATTATTTTTCTCTAAATTGACTCTTTTAAAAATGTAAACATGTTTAAAACGGAAACTTCATATCACTATTGTAAATGGGAAACCACCATCACTTGCTGGAAATTGTGACTATAAAATGGGGTATGACAAAATCATGTTATTAAATTTTGATTAGATACTACTGCCTGCAAAGACTCTAGGCCTGTCTTTATTATAAAGGAAGTTTAGCAAATGTTAGAGAGGGTTTAAAGAAATACACTAAATGTGGGCTTTCTTCTTAACTTACACAGAAATGAGAAGGGAATAACTTTCTCCCCACAATAATAATCCCTGTCACTCAATGCTCTGATACTTAAAGTACCTGATTCTGTGTCCTCATTCATATTCTGATTAGCTCAAGAGAACTCAACCGGAGAGGTCAGAATGTCAAGGTCTGCCCTTGAGATGGCTTGGGGGAGGAGAGTGTATCTTGGGCACAGGAGCTCTGATGGGAAGGTGTGGAGCTGGGGCAGAGAGGCGGCCAGTGCCACTGGGGGCACTCCACACACACACACGCAGTGGGATGGAACCAAATGCTTAGGCATTGACCAGACAAGCTTTCAAGGACCGTAGCTTTCAACCAGATCCCAGTCTGTTGGGGAGCCCAGCTGTGGATAATCCAACTTCGTGTAAGAAAGGGTTCAGGATCAAGGTTTACCAGCTTTACCAGCTCAGGCAGTAAAAGGAATCAATCTTTGTTTCAGCCACACACCCAGCCTCTCGCCATTCCTTGCTTATCCTAAGCAGCCGAATGCCTTTGTTGCTTTCTCTGCCACCATTGGCAGGTTCGTGAAGGCCAACGGGCTAGAGTTCAGTTAGGAGAGAGACAGTGCACGGAGATGTCGCAGAGGGTCGTAGGAACCAAACCGCGTAGGACTTTTCCCTGTGACTGTTCTATGTGTTTGAAAACAATATAAACTCTTGCACACAAAGATATATATCTAGATCTATATCTGTATCTATCTATCTGTATCAAAGATTTTATATATTACACACACACACACACATCTATCTGTATTTTTCTATATGATATATAGGCTATCATATCCAGCTGACCCTTGAGTAACACAGATTCGAGTGGTGTGGGTCCACTTAAACCCAGATATTTTTCAAGAAATATATTGAAAATTTTTTTGGAGATCTGTGACAATTTGAAAAAAAAACATTTTCTTTTCTCTTGCTTACTTTACTGTAAGAATAGAGTATATAATATATATAGCATAAAAAATATGTGTTAACCAACCATTTATATTATCAGTAAGGCCTCCAGTCAACATTAAGCTGTTAGTAGTTAAGTTTTTGGGGAGTTAAAAGTCATGTGCCAATTTTCAACTGCAAGGGGGATGGGGTGGGGGGGTGGTAGCTATGATAGAGTTTGCTAATTACGCAGTTAGAATCCTTTAGGGCGGTACTGTCCAACATGACAGCCACAAGCCATATGAGGCAGCTGACTTTAATTAAACTCAATACAATTAGTAATTCAGTTTCTCAGACACACTAGCCGTATTTCAAGTGCTCAAAAACCATATATGGCTAGTGGCTAGCCTTTTAGTGGAATGCTAGGAACAAAAGCCCAGATGCAATGAGTGAAGAATGTGAAGATAAAATAAACTATTCTTTTGAGAGGCCTGGCTGTGAAGGGAGTGGAAGGACCGAGTGGGACCTGGAGGGAGATGAGGGGTCACAGGGAGGTTTTCAAAGGCAGGCAAGGGCATGACGGGAGATGCCACAGAGGCAGCAAGTGCAGACATGGGAGGGGCAGGCACAGAAGGAGCAGCCCAGGGGAGGGGTCCAGGCAGAGGGGGAGGACGCCTCCGGCACACTTGGCAGCAGAGAGGGCAGAGAGGAAGGTGGACTTGCTGACGGGAAGATGAGTGTTTGTCCTATGGCTACTGCTCTTTTCTCAGTGAACTGTGAGGTGAGGTCATCGGTTTGGAGGGAGGAAGAGAGGTTTTGGTGGACAAAGAGGCAAAGGTCAGAAATGGTTTTCTCAGAGTAGGAAACAGAATTTAGTACAAAAATACAGTGAAATAGTGGAAGGAGGGCAAAAGTCAGGGTTGAAGCAAGTGACACTCCCTCACTTCAAGCCCCCCTCTGGTGCGGAAGGAGCACTGTGGCCTGCATCCCCACCTGCCCCTCCAGTCTCCTCCAGCCTCTCTGCGCCGCCCACACTGGCCTGCCGCTGCCCCGGGAGCAGCTCCGCTCTCTGCCCATTGCAGTACTTGTGATGTACTATCTCCTCCGCCTCTTCTCACTCCATCATCCTTCAGGTGTCAGCTCAGCCATCACTCCTAAGGGCGGCCCCAGGCCCTCTGCTCATGCTGTATAGATTCTCACGGCATCATATAATCGAGCCCTTGGTAACAGTACCAAATATGTGAGCTTATTATTGGGATTATTGGTCAGTATCTGGCTCCTGTACTAATAAGCAGAATGTAGTCCATGAATATTTGTGAAGTGAATGAAGTAGGGAGACCAGAAGGCTAGTGCCATGGTTTAGGCAAGAGAAGACAGCAGCTTGGCCTAGTGTGCTGACCCTGGAGGTGGAAAGAGGAGCAAGGGCTTTGGGATAGAAACTGCAGGTGTAACAACCAGAACTTAAGGATGGCTGGGTGCAAGGAGGTGAAGGCAGCAGAGAAGATGATCTCCAGGTTTGTGGCTTGAGGAACTAGGTGGACAGTCATTTACTGAGATGCGAAAGACCAGGGGATAAAGAAGTTAAAAGGCAAAAATCAAGTGAGTTCTGTTTGGACATGTCAGATTAGAGATGTCTATCCAAGCAGAAGTGACAAGTAAGCTAGACAGAGGAATCTAGAGTTCTGGAAAGGTCTGAGGTAGAAATACAAACTTAGTGGTTTCCAGCATTCAGATATTAGGAAAAAAAGAGGACGCAGCATTAATTCACATTAAGGAAGTAATGTGCTTTACTTATGGCCAATAAATGTAGCTACTAAGCTGGTACTTCTCCTCCATGCACCCTTCCTCGTCTCACAGGAGATACTGGTCACAGTGTGCGCCGTGTGCCCACAGCACACTGCATTTGCCTCCATCATGGCATGCCACAGCACTACTGTGCCTCTTGTCTGTGGTACCTTCAAGGGCAGGAATGTTTCTTATCTTCAATCTAGTTCACAGTAAGTTCTTTAATTCTGCGAGAATGACTGACTTAAAGTCTTAGGAAGGATTTTATAGAAGATTTTATGGGAGAGAAAAAGGAAGTGAACTGAAACTACAGCATGTGAAGGCAGAGCTTGAAGATAAAGGAGGCCTTCTGCCTTCATAGGAACGCTCTACTTTTGGACTGTGGGGGGAACTTGCCATACCATACTGGTGATGGTGAAGGCCAACGGCCATTCTTCACATACTGCTGGTGGAAATGTAAACTGGTATAATCTAGCTAGAGGAAAAGTTAGCAATATTTACCAAAATTTTAAATGCATACAAACATGTTATTATTCATTGCAGCACTGTTTATGATAAACAGCAAATTCTGGAAACAATCCAACCGTTCATCAAGAGGGACTGGTTAAATAAACCACGAGGAACCTGTACTCTGGAACACTATAATACTTTGTATTTATATATAAAGGATACAAAATGATTTGGAAAGCTCTCCAAGAAAATACTACTATGTGTAAAAAGCAAGCTAGACATCAATGTATATATGTATTTCTGTGAAACAAAAGAAGGAATTATACTTGTATTTATATAGATACTCCAGAAGGATACATAATGTGACGTTAGTGTATGTTGGTTGTGTATGTGTGTAAGAGAGAGGAGGTGAGAGCTAGGCCAAAGGGTGAATGACTGAGAATGAGATTTTTATATATTTTTAAATTTTTTGAATAATGCTTTTGTTTTGAATAGTCATTACCTATACAAAAAAAAAAAAAACCCTAAAACTAAAAAAAAGTACATGACCCATGGCCCAGAAATTCCATTCCTGAAAATTTATACTGAAATTTTGGACACCATATAAATTTATATTTGGATGCCATATAAAATGAAAAAATACATACTTATCTGAAAATTCTGTAGAGGTTAGCAGAGACCTACAGTACAAGAAGTTCACTGCAGGAGTGTTTCTAACAGCAAGACCCAGCAGGGCCGACCAAGTGTCATTGGAAGTGGGTTGAATCAACTATGCAAGGTTGGGGCTTTGGTGTTAACAGACACATTCTCTTTCTTAAACTAGGTGGTAGGTACATGGTATCCATTCTAGAAAAGACCTTTTGTGTCTTGTGTCCAATAAAACAATTTTTAAATCACAAGCATCTATCTGATGAAACACATATAACAAAAGAGTCTGGTAGATCTGTATAGGATTTGTAATGATCTTTCAGACACACTGGTAAGTAGAACAGAAGATACGGTATACACTTATTTTTGTTAAAATGGAGAAAAGAAAATATGCTTATACACGGAAATTTCTAGGAGGACTCAAGAAACTCTAGTAATAGTGTGAGTCTGAGGAGGGAAACGGGAAATCTGGGGCAGAAATGAGCCTTTTCATTGCATACTTTCTCAGTTGGCCTGAAAGATTTTCTATGTACATACATATTCCTTATCAGTTAAAAAAAATTACAAAGGAGCATGCTTCCTGGAAGAGTGACTGTTCTCAAGATGGATGATCTAATGTCTTCAAGGAGGCCACCGAGACAGGGCTAGCCCCTCCCGTCATTCACAGCTGGCGTACACCTCCTCTCCCTGGGTGACAGGCCGCCCCCACCCTGCACCGCACGGCTGCAGCTGGGGCTGGAACACTCACTTGGGCTCGTGAGGAGGTCCGGACTGGTCAACCAACTTGAACTCGGCAGCAAAGCCGTGGGAGCGGGCATACTCCAACAGGCC